TTTGACAACGTGCCTTACACTAATATTTGTTTTCTTTCATTGATGGGCAATGAAACCTTATGCTGCTTGCAACATTTATCTGCAGAGGTTTAACCAGTATTCAAAAAGGTTCAGGAAACAAACCTTGTTGCGCAATGTCAGTGAATTTGCAGAGCACCTATTTCAGGTTATTATATCAGTTGAACATTTTGTATCTTATTTTTGGTACATTCTTTTCTTTGCTACTCAAGGTACTGTGGAGGGATGGTGCTAATGGATTTTGCAGAAAATATGAGTAGGAGTATTATTATGTAATTCCAAATATATAAGATGTTCCTATCAATCTTGGTTTAACAGTTGCTTTTTTATGACTACATTTTCAATTCAACATTTTGCCTTATGAATGTAAAGGGGAAGCACTATAAATAATGACTAAGACCACCAATATAGAAATCTCTATCGCAAGTGTTCTAAATTTCAGAACTATCTTGCTGAATTGTGATACACCATTACGGATGTAATACTTTCTTGTAGCTCTACATATCAACTAGTTCCATGAGGAATGGAATAGGGCAGGGAAAGTGAAATTGTGTTGCCATTTTCCACATGGCCCTCCTTTTTCATCTCCCAAATCTTGAAGAGGTTGGAGAAAGTGAAAGACAGGAAAGGCCAGATTTTTCCAAATAGAATATGTTCAAGGCATACTTATTATGGTTGTTGAATAACCAAATGTTGCTTATCCAAATACCAAAGATCTTTAGTTTTACCTTGTTAGTGATTCTAATCAAGTATTTTGGTTGTACTATCCGTCTTATTATGTGTCAGAGTTTAAGTTTACATCAGTCTTTGAAGCCTTGTTGATGATCAATCTGGCTCTTCCACTTTGCTACTTTTAATACTCTTTTTACTTTTTGTTTCGAACTGCTCATAACCTTTCTTATGTTCATATTCTACCAGAGCTGGCAGTCTGACAGTGATGAGGATGATCAATCTTCAAGTCCAGGACATTCATGGTTCAGACCTCATTTCAGGGATGACAGATTCAAAAGAGGCAATTCGAGAAATAGAGGACCACGAGCCTGGAGAAGTAAGTATTCTAGTTGTTGTATGATTAAGTCAGTATAGATCTGAGATTTTCACATTTCTTCTATCTGTAGTAGAAAACCCTTTTTCATTTTTAACCCTTTTTCATTTTTATCTTTTTTTGGTGGCCTTTGGAGGAGGATTGTAGTTAAGGCCAATTTGGTAAAACCAGTCAAGATATTATTGGTATATTTGGTAGGGAGAATTACATAGTACTTGACAATATTAAGGAAGAAAAAAGAAATTTATTTGTTATATTGCTCAGTAAATATGCACTATGGGCTTACTGCTGCCTCTCTTTTCTCAGACATTGTTAAATTATTTTTCAACCCCTTTAGAGCTTGTGAATTTTGTCCTTGAAGTAGTTCTTGAAATATTTAATCTTTTCAGGACATTTTGAGTTCGCCGAAGATGAGGATGTTGAATTTGAGACCTTTTTTCGTTCTACATTCGGTGGAAACCAATACTTCTATTGGTCTCAAGAACCAGGATACAGGAACTCATCTAGCTACTCTAGTTACTATAGGTCTTCTAGCGATTGGAGGCATCGGTTTCACGAGGAATACGATTCTGATTCCTCTACAGAGTCCGAGAGATCAGAGGCAAATATGACTTCTGATAGGCTGGCACTCGGGTTGAATGCATCGGGTCCTTTAAACCTGGATGATGTTAAAAATGCGTAAGTTCTTATATTCCTTAATGTGAAATTTTTCTTGAGAAAATTGCACCATTGGTCTCAACCACTAACCTCAATAGTTGGTCCCCAACCTTTAAAAAGAGGAAAGTTGGACGAAAACGTTTCATATAGTTGCTTAATCATTCCCCAATGATGGATACTGTACAAGTCATCATTATGAAGCTTGATTTCTCTTCCCAACGAGGAGTAGTGCCGCAAAGCAGGATTCCATGAGGAGTACATATCATTTTGACGGGTCTCTGTCATTGAGGACAAATTTTCCAACAATAATGCATCATTTAGGACCAACTTGCTAATGGGACAATATGTTGGGGACCAATAGTGCGATTTTCCCATATTCATATTCCGGGGAAGAGAGGAAGTTTTTCTTTGGTTTTATTAGACTGCTTTACAATATTCCATTTTCAGATATCGAGCGTGTGCACTAAAATGGCATCCAGATCGCCACCAGGGTTCTTCCAAGGTATATCGTTCATTTTTCTATAGCTATTCTGTCTTATCCTAATGATGCTTCACTTTTCGGCGTTTATTTGATTGTCACTTTTGATGCTTGTGATTACAATTTCTACATGTAAGCTTATAACTCAGAATTCAGCAACAAGTTTGTGAATTACACAGGTTGTTGCAGAAGAAAAATTCAAGATCTGCAGTGCGGCATATCAATCTTTATGCGATAAGTTCGCTCTAAATTAGGGGTTGACTGGAGCACATTGATATGAACCCTATATCCTATGTCACCTTTCAGATTCAATTTAATCCTATGCACAATTCTATCTAGGATTTTGTTATAGGAAGTATCACGAATAACAATTACCTGTGATGGCAAAACCATCTTATTATCATCATATCATATTTACTAATATTTAGTGCTATTATATCTTTCTAATGAATAATACCATTATGGTGATGATGTATATTACTTGAAAATGAGCTACAAGATACTTAGAACTTATTTACACTGTAGATTCTTGTGTGTGTATGTGGATATCTGTCATTATAATTCTTGTGTGTTTTTCAAGAAGATAATTTAGTGATCCTCTAACCAGGGTCGGTTATGTGATTGTCGGGATCCGAGGCGAAGTCCAAAAATTAGGCTTCCAAAATCAATGTAAATGAAAAATTCAACAGTGTATTATACAATATATTGCCAGCTTAAAACTTAACATTAAAACAACAAATAAACATCTCGATCATCTCACAATTAATGGAAAAAATATATTTTCCTTTCTCTACTTTTTTTTAAAAAAACAAAAACAAGAACTTTTGGATCAAAATAGGCTCCCTATGGGCTTGAAGCACATGCCTCATTTGCCTCAAATGAGAGTCTGAATATTGATGTCCCTTCTTAAGTTATACGAACAAATTGAGAAAATGGTCCTTTTCTGGTTGCAGAATGTTTATTTTGTTTTGTTTTACACTTTCAATTTTTAATTTAAATAGCATAAATGGGTGTACTATAATATCTCCCTCTGCATCACGAAAATCCTTGGCTTGTCGGGAGACCGCTCTCAACCTTGCCATCCCTATTGTCAACTAATATTATTCTTAATTATTTGTTTTCCATTTGAATTAGATGAATTTTGAAAGTAATATATTCAATTTAAAGTATCAAACTCGTCGTGATAATTAAATAATCCAAAAATAAGTTCTCAATAAATCCAAATTTGCAATTGGACATAAATATATCTAAATATTTTGAATAACAAGAACTCAAGGATTCTCGATCCTTGCAAGAGGTTGTCTTTCAATTTTCGTACCATTTAGCTTTTTTCCACGTAAATGCATCTTGAATCTTTTTTAAAAAGTATATAATAATGGCATGACATATGCATTGAGACAATTGAGATATCATTTTGCAAAATGTAAAAAAAAGACCTATTACTCCATAAGTCAGGCTCTGTTTGGTAGTGTCTTTTCGCCTCCAAAAATTGATTTTTTAATTATTATTTTATTATTTCAAAATCGTTATTTTTGACTTCTTCACTTACATGTGGTCCTCACTTTTCTCCACAACGATCAAAAAATCAATTCTCAAAATTACTATAAAACGGGCCCTCAATAAAACTCATAAAATCAAAACTTGCTAATAAATTTTTTTAAGCATTTTCACAAAAAGTGAGAAAACCAATAAAAAGTTGAATCATATAGGTTACTTAAATACTGAGTGATGTTTAAAGCTATCCAAAGTCTTACCTCTATCCATGTATTTAATTGATCATATTATTTCATAGCACATCAAATATTACACGAACGAATGATCTTCTCCTATAGTAGGGTTGGCAATGGTTCGATTTCGCTTCGATTTGACCAAAATCGTCATCGAACCATCAAGTTTTTTGTCATACCATAACTGCGTCATAATCACATAAATCGCTTCGGTTCATATCTCGATTCGGTTCGATTAATTACCACGAAAATAAATTATTTTTTATAGGTCCATCCGTCAAATTGATATAAAATAATTTATGAAAAGAGAGTCAATGAAAATAAAAACACAATATTCCAAAAGAAAATGCAAACATTATCCCAAATTCCAATTGCAAAATACAAATTTAACAAACAATATTTTAAATATAACAATACTACATTTTTCTTTCATTCTTGATTCATGTGAATTGTAGTTACTTGATTCATGTCCAATAATTCAAAAGTTTCAACCTTAACTCATATTCAATCTTCATTATTCCACACAACTCTTACTAGCATAGTTCAGCACTCCAGATTGATTCATGTATAGTAAATAAGAAATGTAAGTAGAGAATACAACGATATTACATAATCCAGAATGATTTTAATTAAGATTTAAATAAAAAAAATTGTACCTTTTCGTCAACTTTTTCGTCACTAAACATTGTCATCCCTAACAAAAGAATGATTTTTTTAAAGCGGATAATCGGTTCGGTTTCGATTCGACGGCATAAATATCATACCCGCACAGCTACGAATCGGTTCATTAAAATCAAATACCATATCCGCCCCATTACACCATTGGTTCGATTTTTTTCACCCCATTCGATTCGATTAACCGCAATTTTCGATTTTAATGGTTTAAATTATCATCCCTATACGACAGAGGGCGGCCTTCTTCTTTTGGGCCATGGCTAAATGAATTTCAAAAATAGAAAATAAAATTCACTTGACGAGATTACCCCTGACCATGTCCATACACGCTCTACACTATTGACTATTGTACACCAGAAAAAGAATAAATAATAAATAAATAAATTCGCTCCATTTTGTCAATAATTTCAGCATTTTCTCCATTTGAAGCACTCTTCCATTCCAAATTCCTATTTCAATGGCTTGTTCAATTTCGCCAGTAATCTCTCCTATACAACATTCACACTCTTCTAAGTTTTTTCTGCCTATATTGTTTCTCGGAAATGGAAAAATTAATAATAAGAAAATAACGATAAGAGCAATGGTTCAGCAGGCAGTTCAAGGGTCTTCAGCTGCTTATGCAAAGGAAATGGAAAGACTATCTACTAAAGAGTCTCTGCTTCTCGCTGTAAAGTTCCTTTTGAGTTTTATTTTGTCAATAATCATATTTCACCATTTTTTTAGTTTTTCAATAGAGTAGGTCGTTGTACTGGATTTTTTTTTTGCCGGTGCCAAATTCCTGGTTCATGCTTATATTTTGTGCATATTATTATTTTGAAATTGATATTTGTCATTTTGTTTGTCCATGTTTGATTATGGTCTGATTTCTTCAAGTTCTAAATTGAAGTAAAAATTTGTTTGTTTTATTTTGTGGTAAAAGAATTCCTGAGGTTGTAGCTTGAAGTTTCTTTCTTTTTTCCTTTCAAAATATATTCACGTTAATGTGTTTGTATATGAGATTGCAGCTTATAAAACTTGTAGCTTCATGTTACAGTACTATTTGCTATCTTTTTATTGTTAATATTTCTTTCTGAATCTCTATGATTTACTCATGTATTACGAATTTGCATCTTCGACTCTTCAGCATCAGAGGTCATATGCATGTACACGTGTCTCCCAACCAATGCATTTTACCTGTTGAAGCACAAAGTTAGGGATTTTGCATTGAATTGTTATTTGCCTAAGCCATACTTGTTCATCCCAAGTCCTATATGTACAAAGAGGAAACATATTTGGCTTCACATTTTATAATCGCCTTAATGATTGAGTTCTGAAGTTTGTCACACTAATAATTGTAAATTACATTACTAATGAATAAATGTATTTTTAGTTCAAAGACGCTGGGGGGTTTGATGCTTTAGTCACTGGGAAAATAACAGATATGCAGCGTATCGATGTGAATGAGATGATAGTTAGCCTTGAGCGACTCAATCCAACACCTCGACCAACAACGTAAGGTGTTTAGTCTGTATGTAATATTACACAGGATCGAACTCTATAATTGCAAGATCTTTTACTTTCATTTTCTTTCTTAATATTATCCGGTAGTGTCCACTATATCTTACCAAACGTACGATCAGTGGATAATAGCTTACCCAATAAGGCAACTATTTTGTGTTTCTGGCTGTTCAGGTCTCCTTATCTGGATGGCAGATGGAATTTCAAGTGGTTTGGATCAGGAAGCCCTGGGCTCTTTGCTGCTCGGTTTGCGTTTGAGTAAGTGTTATTAAGAATTAATTGGTTAGTGGCCACAAACTAACATGAATAACAAATCTTTTCTTTTTTTATTCCATAAGGTGCCTACTGATTATTTCATATGTCTTTTTATAAATACTGGAGCTTATTTCGAAGAATGTTCAGGGTGATTTTTAGCAAAGATTAAAGACGAAAGATGAAGTAGATAAAGTCAAAGATTAACATAATGACATCTTTGTAGCATTTTACAGCTATGTATCTTGATGAGATGCATGTGAAGTCCTCATCTCATTATAGGATCGTGATTGGCCTATCACACACCGGATCTGATGAAAGAGGACTCCGAAAATAAATATTAGTCTTAACATAATAAACCTTCTATTATCTCCAAAATCTTTAGTTTATCTTTGTGAGAGTGCTCAAAATAATAATTTTGAATTTGGTGAGTTCTATAATCCTACCAGGAATTTGTTCGGGATTTAGTGTTGATAGAAAACTAATGATGTACAAACATCATGTTTTTGCAGGAGGTTTCCTCCTGCATTCGCAAATTTATCGAAATTGGATGTAGTGATCAAGGATGGATATGTTAATATTGAAGCAAATGTTAAATTCTTCAACTCGGTAATATGCTCGTTGCTTTTATGCTGCGATATCTATCTTTATTACACTTTAAAATATAAATTGCTTCCGTGAAAATCAGCCAACAGGTTTGGTTTCACTAGCTAATCGTTTTCATATGACGCTATTTGTACCTCTGAGTGTTTCAGTTGACATATGATGTTCAATTGATGTATGATATCATTTATCCCTGGTGAAATGCAGATAGAAAGCAATGCTATTCTCTCAACCAAGTTATTAGTCGAGGGACCACTTAGAATGAAGGAGGAATATGTTGAAGGAATACTCAAATATCCAAAGATCAATGAAGAAATCATACCTGAACAGCTAAGAAGTGCTTTCGGTCAGGCAGCAGGCACACTAGAGCAACTTCCTGATCCCATTAGGGATGCTGTGGCAACTGGATTCAAGGTCCCTCTTGGTAAGCATATTAGACCACCTGCACTTGCAAGTAAAAATCATATTTGTACCTTCTAGCAGAAAGTTTATATTATAATTACATGCATTGTCTTTTTCTAGCGTTACTGGCTTAATTTCTTTTCCATGTTGCTCAGTCCAGGGTAGGGATCGTGTAAGGGTGTAATTTAAGCATCGAATTTGTGAAATGCCAAGCTTTAACATGCATCGTTTTGGTCAAATATCGTATTGGCTTAAGAGATGGGTACTCGGACTGTTGGACACATCATTCAATGTAGTTACAAAACTAAGCTTTGTATATTATACATAGAAGAAGAATATTTTTCAAGAGAACATATAATGCATGATACAGGGGAATTTACATCTTGTCACTTTTTAATAAATTGTAGCTGTTGCTTAGTCAATGAGACTTGTATCCAGTTTACAAGGTTCAGATATATCTGTATCTTGCTGTATCATGTTATGTCAATATGGGCGCCTCATGTGACCAAAGAGCTGGAATCGCATAGTTTCTTTCTAATATTATGAGGTGACATCATAATCTGAATCTGAGTAGCTCACGATTTCTTGTTTACATTAAACCCTGCAATACTAATGGTTAGAGATTCTGCTAGTAATTATAGTCACTGCCTCGGCTAACGAATCATTATTGAGTGTTTTTACTTCTCTTGCCTGCAGGCAAGACCATTTTTTCTTCTTTTGATTGCATCCATCTAGTTATTTCTTCTTTCTTTTACTAGCAATTGAAAACTCGTAGGGATGTTAAATGGGCAGAACCGAGCACTCAACTCCCCCACCGTCGGGTTCGGCTTGTCCCAGCATGCAAGCCAGCTCGCGCTCGCATATGGGACGAGCCGGTTTTCAAGTCACTCATGGCTCCTGTATTTTTTTTTTCTAACCCAACTATTTGGCTCATTCCCTCAGCTCGCCTTGGGCACAAGTCGAGCCGGCGAGCAGCTGGCCCACTTAACACCCCTAGGTACACAGAATATCTCTGTTTGAGTAAACACAATACTAAAAAAAATTTATTACCTTCAATTCAAAATTTATGTCAAAAGGCTTTTCTTTTATCATGATGCTGCATGCAAAACGCCAAGTTGGGCAAGAAAAGCAATTTTGCTTCTTATTCATCCGACTATGAACTGCACTGTTTCTGCATCAGTTTTTGTCACTTTCTCTTAAGCTTTAAAATTAAATGGAAGACTCAGGAATTGTTTACGATTATTTATTTTTTCATCATGTTCTACATCTAAGAGATTTTATGTTGATGCTATATCTATTTTCTTTGGTCAACATTTTTCTTCTTGACAGCCAGGAGCTTGTTTCAGGTGGCAGGGTGGAGTTTCCATGATTCCATCCAATCCTGAGAGCAATAATGAACTAAATGACTGACAGCTTGTTCGCCCTCAATTAGAGAATTGCTGTTATTTTCTGCTGTAGATTTTTCTCTGTGATATGACAATTTTTTTCCTTCAACCATCTTACAGAAAATCACCCCCCCCCCCCACCCACAAGATTCCTTCATAGCGTAGGAAAATAGGGTGACTTAATCAAGCTCCACACAGTCCAACAGATTCTACTGCTTTCTTTTGTCGTCTGGGTTTTAGTTTGTTTCCCTGATGTTTTAGCTCCTAGTGATCCGTGATCTTCAAAATGTAAATTCTGTATTTTTTTTTTTCATATGTTTGCCCATTAGTTTCTGCAGCTTATATTAGTTTCATTCTTATGACTTCAGGTGGGTCCTTCTACAGGCGTTTTATGATTTCTTATATGGACGAAGAGATCCTAGTAAGTCTTTATAATTATATTATTTTTTTTGGGATACCAGTAAGTCGTTATTATTTTAGAAAATCATTTTGTTAATTTTTTTCATTTTTTTGTTTGGGAAAGTTGTAGGATAATAAATGCATTACTTAATGCGGATGTATGGAATAAAGAGAATTATAAGCAAGTGTATATGTTATTGCTGCTTTAGGAAATATGTCGAACACTTCTATAACATATAGTAAATATCTATTACATGCTTAGCATGTCACCAAATTTGAAATGTTGAGATAAACTTCTTATGTGCATTATACAATAGAAGATCTATATATGTAACAGTATGTGTCTGTCTCTGTCTGCACAATGTGGATATTATTGTGAAAAAGAAGAAAATTATGTACATATTATTATATTACAGGGCCTTAAGATACATGAAGAATAATCATAGATCGCTAGACAAGACCTCAGGATATGAACCCTAATTTCTAACCTTTTTGGGATATCGATACTATCATTTGTCCTTTCAACTTAAATATTTCACGTTTTGGCTGCAGTTTTGAGCCTGTATTTGTGTCATCAGCTAACAATCAATGTTTGACAGGGCTCCTTTCATTTTTAGTATGGAAAGAGTCATTAGTCTTTGGTATATTTAAGCCATCTTCTATGTTCTTGTACCACATTCCAACACATGTTATGGATTCTAAACTTCTATTCTTTTTGTTGTATACTAATGTTTTAGGTTTGTTGCCAACTGTCCGTTAGAAAAACTAATGGATTCAGATCGCTTTGGAACAAATTAATGTTTAGTGAATAACATGAAACTTCTCTATAAGTTGAGCGACCAACACTTTTTTCCCTTTGAATGTGTCGTTGAATTATGTTGAAATCTCACTTTCAGAAAATTTTAAAAACCAAGCATGTTACTTTATGCTTAGTTACGACCAATTTTGGTTTATATGACCATATGAGGGAGCAAATTTTGTTCGTTATAAGTTGTAATGAATGAGTAAAATACATAGGTAGTGAATATTGTTTTTCTGTACTTATTATAACTCAAATTCGAGTAAAGGCTATAAAATAATGAATAAACTGAAAAGGAAATGGTATTTAGGCACAGAGTTTTTAATTCACGTTTCTTAGAGAAACAAGCATGTTAAACCAAGTATTTTTTTCAACTTAGGAGCAAGAAAAAAGGTATGAATATAATAATTTCATATTTCGTATATTTGTTCTCTATGTGCAGATAACAAGGGATACTGCTGGAATTCCTGAAGTCCTTATGAGATTGGATTCAGCTTCATCTCCTGTGATTGAACCAGTTACGGATTATGAGAGTTGAAGGTCTTATTTTTACATCAATCAAAGTAACTGTAAGTTTTCCATCTGTCTGATTCACATTGTAACTTCTGAATAAAATTACTCCATCACCTCCCCACCTGCCCAGATTATGGGAAAATGACTGCTCTATATTCTTGTTTCTTTCTTTCCTCTCTTTTACTGCGTAAAACTCATTGGTCATCAAAAGAATGGGTAAAACTTTCCAAATTTGTAGTTGCAAGTTATAGTGACTGAGGAGAAGTGGTTGATGTGAATAACAAGTAGTAAGGGTTATTATTGGAGTTGGTAGTTACCCCCTTTTCACGTTAATGCATGTGAATCTTGTTCACATTTGTTTCTGGATGTAGAAAATCTCCAGCTTTATAATAGGATTGGTCGTCAGCATTTTATTTCATGCACAAGTACTATTGAAGATTAAACTTAAATGTACAATGTCCCCCATGAACTTGTTTTTACCATTATCAAGTGGTGTTCTGAGTATTAATTTTCAAATAAATAAATGTGTTTCCGTACTAATACCTTTGGCTTTTGAATATCTCTATTTACATTACGTTCATTCTTACATTAGTGAAAGATTCAGATCATTTTTAATCTCCATTGAGCGACTTTGGCACCAGATGTGCTCAAAATGGATACCGTTGCATTTAGGTGAATTCAATCGTAGAAATTTGTTGGCATTTCATCATTCCTTCTCTTTTTACGACCTATTTGAAAGAGAGTCCTATGAAAATGTGGGAATATTGAGCCTTCTAATTGGCTTTCCCAATTCACGATCATGTATATGCATTTCTTGTGATCTTTTATTACACTAGGTTTAAGATAATCCTTTCTGCCCAAGAATCTTTAATTAATTACGAGTTGTCAATGAACTATGTTGTTAATATGGACTTAAGGTTTAATGTTGTCTTTAAGTCAATGTTTATTGTAATTTTTAGCCAAAAAACTTGGGTTTAGTTTCTTGGTAGTGTAGGTGAATGCCCATATATATATTTGGTTGTCACTGTTAAACAAGTCAATGCAACTATCTTCATTCTTTTAACAATTCATAGATGACAACATTGACAAGTGAGAGGATGGTGATATAGACACACTCAAGTGTGTATCTGAATTTGGGATAGGATATATTTTATTTTTGAAAGTTGCATTGATATATGAAATATTTTGCAATAATATTCTGAGCCCTTATATGTTATCTATTTGATTATTGTTTTTATATTTAGGTAATATGAGGTTTACCTTTACATTATACCAAATTCCTTGTTGTAATTGATGGATATCGTGATGCTAATTGGATTTCTGATACTAATGAAAGTAAATCTACGAGTAGATATGTTTTTACATTAACAGGCGGTGCTATATCTTGGAAATCCATTAAGCAAACCTGTATTGCGAAATCTACTATGGAATTTGAGTTCATAGCTTTAGATAAGGTAGGTGAGGAAGCTGAATGGTTAAGGAATTTTCTTATAGATGTTCCTTTGTGGTCCAAACCATTACTTGCAATTTCTGTCCATCGTGACAGTCAAGCAGTTATTTCAAGAGCTCAAAATTCATCGTACAATGAAAAGTCTAGGCATATTCATAGAAGGCACAATACTGTGCGTCAATTGCTTAAGGATGGGATTATAGTTATTGACTATGTGAAGTTAAGTGATAATATTGTTGACCTATTAACCAAATGATTAGCTAGAAAGCTAGTTCAGAAAACATCGAGGGAAATGGGGCTAAAGCCTATTACAAACTAGATTACCTATAACGGAAACCCAACCTTGTGATTGGAGATCTCATGGTCAAGGTTCAAAGGGACAACAAAGTTATTGAGTGGTCTGTAGGTGTACTACATTGGATTTATTCAAAACCCCCCTCCGTGATATTTAGTACCAACTATATTGATTAGAGGATGAGCTAATGCTCTTAGTGCTTAGGATGAGCTAATGCTCTTAGTGCTTACTATGGTTGATATTCAGTGGAGTATTTAGATACAGTGCACCCTTAATAGTAGCACATATTTGAGTGTGGAAGTGAGACTGCTTCCTATAAAAATTGAGGTTAATTCTCTAGAGTACTACTCAAAGAAATCGGGAAAGTTCACTGTCGAAATAAACACAATCGCGAGAACTCAATGATTGTTCTAGAAGTCATGTGTGTGTTCTGTTGTCTCAATTTGCAACTATAATTGTCAGAGTTCAAAACATAGTTCACTCTACAGTTAACAAGCTCAATAGAATATACAAAGTCAAGATTCAAGTCGGTAGACACCTAAACCTGCGTGATTTCTATAGTACTCTAGAATAATATTTCATTTATCTTATTTTTTTCATGTGGGGGATTATTAGATAGTTATACTATAAATATAAAATGTGAAAGAAATAATCAATTTAGATGAAATGTCTAACTGGTAGAAAATGTGGTATTTGTATGGGATTTCGAGGGTTCGGGTCACTTTCCACGCAATAATTAAAAAGTCTTTAATTGGGGTTTTGGACTTTCTTGACTAAAATACTTTTTTTTCTTAAAATTATTTAATAGGTCAAACTATCCAGTATAATATGATCGTTTTTTAACAACCCATTATTCATTAGCTAGTAAATTTTGCAAATATTTCTGGATCATGTTAGAGGTGGTTGGATCCATTCTATCTCTATATACACCAATCTCGTTTGCAAAAAGAAAAATAAAAAAAAATGAAATCATCAGAAACAATATCATAGTTTCTCATACTCTAAAATAATATGCTCGATTTTATTTATTTTTTAACATTTTTTCGAGAGTACACTTGAGAGTTTGGGGACACCATTAGTGATTGTTGCATAAGTCGTTTGTAATCGTTGTATTTAGGGAGTGGTTGTCCACAGAGGTCGCTGCAGTTGTCGACGGACAATTTCACTTTAGGACATCGTGCTATCATGAGATTCAATCAGTTGATAAGTTTTATTTTTTCACTTTACTGTTCTGCACGTTATCGCAACCAATTATTTTTTCAACAACCATGTCATAATTTTTTAAGTCCAAATCAGATCGACTGGTTAAACTGGGAATGCTTGACCTGATTTTAACAAGCAGATTATAAACATCTATGGACTCGTGTGTTCAATCGATGTCTTGAAAATTTGGTGCTTTGATCATATTGGAGAGAGAGAGAGAGAGAGTATATTTGTAAAGTCTAAATGAAAAAGTTTGAGATCACATTTAAATTTTTTTGATAAAATAAACAAAAAGGAAATTCAGATACAACAAAAGTTTAGAAACAAAATATATATATCAATTTGTCTACCGTATTTACAGCGAAACTTGAATTTTACAAAAGAAATTGAGGATTAATTAATCTAACCTTACAAGCTCCGAAGCATTGAATTAGAATTAATATCAATCAAATAGTACTCTTCAAAGAACTCCGTTTTCAAGTTGATCAGTATAAATATCAATATGAGAAGAGCCTTCAAAAGGAAGCATCAACGGAAGCTGATTAATCTCTTGCATGAAGCCATCAAATTCTGTAAAACCACCCAAGAAACCGGTGCCGGTATTTGCATACCTCCGTATCTCTTCTTCACCGGTAATTCTCTCTTTAAACCCTGAACTCTCGAATACATTTTTCATAGCCAGGTCCATTTTCTTGGCCAATGCTCTTGGATCTTCAGCAACCTTTCTTGTCCTTTTTTTCTTGGTGCACGATGATCTGATATTCTCTTTGGGTTTTCCAGTGAGTCTTTGGACTAATTCTCTGAAGTTAGCAGCATCTACTTTGATAATCTCTGGTGCAAATATGTGAATTATACGAATTTTCGGTTTGATCTTCGATATTTTTTGTGACTTCTCGTGCATTCCTAGTCCTGCTGATGGAGTTTTCTGCAGCATCCCCTCCATGTTTTGCATCAAGTATAAGAAACACAGATCGTAAGAGAGAATTCAAAGACAGTAGTGTGTTTGTTTGCAATTAAAAGAGAGAATGGATTATATATAGAGGTAAAGAAAAGGCGAAAAAAAAAATAATAATGATAAACCATATGACAGCAGAGAATATTATAAATAGAAAACAATCAAGCTGTCCATTGAGGCAAGGATTAGATGAACCCTACTTTGACATATTGGAGAGAAAGGGAGTCAATAAAGAATAGAACTCAATGGTCCCAAATTCCCTTTTCCTCTTACTTATATAACATATATGAAGATATTGTCTTTATTAAATTGTGAAAGACTTGCTTGGTATGATGAATTTGACGCGATGGGACACTACAGCGGACTATGTGTTAGTTTATTTGGAGTCCAGATTATCAGACATGTCAAAATGGTCTGAGTTTTAGTGCTTGTTTGGTAGAGATTTTGGTAATTGATTTTTTGACTGTTAGAGATAAAGTGAGTCCTATTTGTAAGAGAATAATTCAAAAATAATGACTGAATTAGTGAAATAATGGTGAAAATTTTGATTTTAATTGTCTTTTAAGCTGTACCAAAAAAGCTCTTAACTTATTTAGGGAGTAATGGTAGATCCTTCTTAGAAAAAACATAGAGGCCAACTTGCCTGCTCCAATTTATGTGCAATTGGAGCATTATAAAAATTTAATCCAAAATTGGGCAAAATGGTGGCTCAGTTACATTTCTTGCTCAAATTCTATTTTTACGAGTATTATTCAATTCGTCTTGCATAAAAAGTGACAAGTGCACCATATGAAAGTGAAATTGATCATAGTTTTTTCTCAGTGTTTTATGTTCAATTTACCAAACAAGATTGAAAATTATCAGAATATTAAAAAAATATTCAGTCATCTTTTATTCAACAGACTATATATGAAAGTGAAATTGATATTTTCGATGAGAACCCATTTCTTTGCTAATTTTAGTTATTTTCGAGTAAATTGCTTTATAATGAGCTGTTCATAATATTTTTAAATAAAATAATTCCTTGATTAAGAATTAATAATTTGTTTTGATGCTAAAAACGTGAAGCGAATGATGGCCGGCAAGTGAAATCTGTTTTATATATGTTGTACGCTACAAATATGATACGATATCCGTCGCTGCAAAATATATAAACCGTGTGATCCGCACGTGAGATCGTATCATCATAAAGATCCGTGCCCGTATCACCACGATCCTTGAGGCTCAGTCTAAAGCCCATTAGGCCCAACGGATCTTATATTGCGTCAGCCACACACCGCCCTCGTGTGCCGGCAGGCTCATTGGCATAGTGCCACGTGAAAAGTAGTTGTGCAAGTCACGTGCACCATTTGTCTTTTTTCTTTTGATTTATTTAACTTTTTTATCCATCAAATTAGATATGTGATTTTGAGCTTATAAAGCTGCCTTTTAGCCCAAAATCAGTTGCTTCTCTTGACAGTAAAGTAGGTCTTAATGCAGCTAAAAATGCTCTTAAATGATAAAATATTTCCTTAATAATAAGTTATTGTTGTGAATTTCAACTTTCATCCCGAGGCTGCAACCAGTTTATAACTCCATGAAGGGAATGTAATGCAAACACTGAAATTAATTCAACTCATTTGATCCTTCAACAACCAGTTTCAATCCAAAAAATATTCAATCTAGAAAATAAAAAATAGTGGTACAGTACAAAGCAGTCAAACCAACCTAAAATAACCAAGAAAGGGAAGCAAAATCTCGACTAAGAACAAACCAGAAATTCGGGCCGCTATATCTTCATCAAAAGCTAAAGCGTGTTATTGTACCAGAAGACGCCTTTGTTCTGATCACCTTCATCTCGCTCAACATAAATACATTCCTTCGCTTCTCTCCACATGGCCTTAAAAATTGGTGTCCCGTCGAATTGATAGTAATTCCCTAATATCGGCTTAATTGCCTTTGTTGCCTCCATTGCATGATAATGTGGCATGGTGGAAAATAAATGGTGTGAAACATGAGTATCAGTTATGTTATGGAATACCCTGTTCAGAATTCCCCAGTCTCTATCGACTGTGGCTAACGCTCCCCTTAACCAATCCCACTCGGATGAGTCATAGTGAGGCAGGGAGGGATGTGTATGCTGCAAATATGTTATCAACACAAGGAATCCATTCACCACGAGCAATGGACCACCATACACACAGAATACCCAAGCGAGTCCTTTGGCCGCTGTGAGACGGTAAAGCCCACAAGTTACAGCAAGAACGCCAGCATCAGAAATTAGGATTTGAGCACGTTCTCGATCCGAGTACATTGGACTGTGGGGGTTGTAGTGGCATGCAAACCGGTCGTAATGTCTCCCCGAAACATTGAACATTAAATATAAAGGCCAGCCAAGAGTAAGTTGGAAGACGAGTAAGAGAACTCTGCCTGGTGGATTGTTAAGATTCTTAGAAATCCATCGGATTCCTGATTTGACTCTGGGTACAAAAACTTCATCCCGCTCAAGGGAGCCCGTGTTCGAGTGGTGGCGGCGATGACTGTATTTCCATGAGAAGTACGGTACAAGGAGAGAAGAATGTAGGATTAGGCCAACGGTGTCGTCTAGCCACTGGTAGTCACTGAAGGCATGGTGACCACATTCATGGGCAACGACCCAAACACCAGTTAGTACACAACCTTGGCATATCCAGTAAAGTAACCAGCCGAAATAGGACAAAGGATTAGGGAGGAACTGGATATAAGTGGAAGCAACATAGCACAAGAGAGAGGCGATCGTTAGGTCATAAACAACATAGGAGAAAGAACGGAGAACGGATCGCTGGAAACAATGGGGCGGGATGGCTTTCTTGATGTCGCCAAGTGAGAACTGAGGTTTCGAATGTGGAACTCGTTGAATGACATCAGATTTCGACTTCTTGCCCTCGGAGGGAATGGACATTCGGCCTCCAGCACCCATTGTTCAGTGACCTGTAAACCAAGAGAGAAAAACCATGAGAATAATGTTTGTTGTAAAAACTAGACCAGAAAATAGCACATCTTCAAAAATACAATGAACAATTTTATTTATTTTTCTTTGTTAATAGTGTACAGAACTATTTAGTCCTTCCTGCCAAACATCTCAAAAATCAGTAACCATAAAGCTTGAGAAATATCAACATCTGTAGGCAATCAAATTATATGAAATCTTAGAGCAAAAGTACTTGAGAATATAGGACGTAGGACATCAAAATCTATGACGAATGAGCAATGTGAAGGCTTCTATTTGCAGTAACAAGCCACGACTATAAATTTTCGATCGACGTTATACATAGAATTATCTACACATATATATACAACCAATGTAACTACAGAATCTCATTCGCCAATGAAGGTGATAATTTGAGGTATTACGAAAAAATTCACACCTTTGAAAAGTAGACTATTCTGTGACCGGCTAACTAATATTTAATATACAACCAATTCTACAGAATCTCATTCGTCAATGAAGGTAATAATTTGAGGTATTACAAAAAAATTCACACCTTTGAAAAGTAGACTATTCTGTGAGCGGCTAACTAATATTTTACTGTTAACTCCATATTAATCGTCAAACATTGAAATGACCGTCAACATACTCAACTCAACAAACACCTTCTGATGAGGTGTACACAAATATATTTATGAATAACGAGTCAAAATATAGAAACAGTCTAGATAGATATTTAAAAATTGACCACTAAGACGACTGCAACCTAACATCCCTTGAATAATTAGTCATTCAAGATATTTTCTGCAAGACAAAATCATAGTATGTTTGACTTGATTAATAAAAGATCTTGAGCAACCACGAAACTTTAATCTTGAACATGGGTTGGGGACAGGTCATTTTCCACTTTGCAGTTTTGAAGAAAAAATAATAATTCACGAACTAGGACTACATGTTAGCCTTTCTAAACGCAATATAAAAACTTTCTACGCATGTGTTCATATTTATTGTTTTAAGAAATTACCCTTTTTTCTTGAAACGATTCGACAAACTTAAATATCCTTCACCCCTAACTTTTATATAGGGAGTTTGACTAGACATGATTAAGGAAAAGATACATTATGCCTTTAAAACGATGGCAATAGGCTTAGTAGAATTTAAACCCGATCTTGAACCAAGAAGAAGCTTCATGATTTGTCCATCTTACTAAAAAAAGAGTCGTTTCTCGGCAATGAAATTTGCTAAAAAAACACATCTGCTTAATTTAAAATGATAATTTTCTCTTTCATACAAATAAAACCAATAAAGATTAAAAGCAAAGGCCAACCACCCATTTCCGAGATCACAGGATCTATGAAAAGAACAAAAGCAAAGCCAAAAAGCATAAATGCACTAGCTAAAAGAAATCCTTTAACTTTGTCTGTGTTAATCATCTCGTCTAAAAAGTTGAAGGTATTAAAGCGATGTCAATTGTATTCACTTAAATCTCAATGCATTCATTTAAATCTTGTCTTCAACAATTGAAGATGTGAAAATGCATGTACTTTCATTTGCTGCAATGAAAAGTACTAAATTTTAAATAAAAAATGCCTATCAGTTATATGCTCTATTAAGAAATTTTGAAACAAAAATAGGAAAAAACTATTAATACAGAACCACCAAACACCAGACCTTGAAAAGCATCAAAAGAAACAAAAATTTGTTGAGAATTAGCAGCAGTTCACTATCATGAAATGAAGTTTACAAGAGAAAATTGCACACTTATCATCTTTTACCTCAATTTCTTTCTCTTATGATGCTAACTAAAAAGTCTTATATGAAAGCTCTCTATTTATATTTATAAGACAAGTTAGAGTAAAATCGAAATTTACGAGGACTCGAATTCGTTTGACAAAATTTACAAGGACATAATAATTAGGCACCACAGCTTAAAAAATTTCAGATCTAAATTTCGAATCCCGGAATAAAATAAACCAATGAAGAAGTCTGTTGTATATTAAAATCTTAGTCTCCAAAAGCAGTTTTCACATTCTGAGCTAAAAATAATGCACATTTGGCATAAATTCTGAGAAGTAAAGCCACAACAAACACAGAAACTTCAACCCACAACAAGATCTACTCACATTTTTCATACTAATCAAACCAATCCTATCTCAGAATCCAAATCAGAACACAACAACCATTACTTACACAAACGTGTATGTATACATGTCTGTATATATATTGTGATGAGGAAGAAGAATTACCTGAAAGGAAAATTTCACCTCGGGAGAACACTCTGCTCGCCGTTCAATTCGCCGGCCCTTGGTGTTGCAAGGTTTCTCGGGGGGAGAGTCCTCTTTATTTATAAGCATTTTCATCCAAAAAGACAAGCTCACAGTTAGGCCCCAGTGGGACCCACTTGGGTGCAGTGCAATGCAGCTAGACGTCGTTTGGACTTTGGAATCTGCAATTTGCGCAATTGGGAGGTGTTTTGAGTCCACAAAAACACAACTCGTTAAACACATCTTACAGGCTACAGCTTTGATATTTACGTTACGGAACAGAACGCTGAGTACAAAAAAGTATTAATCATTTTTATTATTATTTTAAATACTTAATCATTTTATAAATTATTTAATAATTAAAGTAATACTTATCAAATATCTAAAATTATAAAATTATTATATTTAGTCAATAGTTCCTATAATTAGTCAATTATACAATTTTCAAATTCTAAAAATAAAAAAATTAGACTATTATTCATAATTTCAACTTTCAACTAAATAAGTTTCAATTAGATTTATAGAAATTCCATACGTACTTTTGAAGTGTTCAACGAAATAATAAGTATCAAAATCGTATTTACGTATTATGGATATCAGTGTAACTTAAATCTTATATAAATATTTATTGAATGAAATTATTTTTTACTTTTATGCAAATAAAGTTATTTAAAATTTTAATATTAAAATTAAAAAAAAAAGACATTTAAAAAATGAAAAACAATTAAAAAGTTAAAAAGTTAATATATTGAAGTCAAATAAAAAGTTTTTTTAGAAAGTAAAAAAATAAAAAAATTAATAAAACGCATCTAGATGCGCATAGTTGATCGCTTAATTCACGCTTAATACCAAGATAATATATTTCGCGTCTAGGCACGTTTTTTTTAGATCACTCCTTATATGTCGACCCTATTGTTCAAAAAAGTTATTTTTTTATTTTTTTGAAACCATTGCTTAAAATTTTAAGCTATTAAAAAAAATACTTCTTAAAGTATTTATAAAAAAAAAATTACTTTTTTAAAAGGAAAAATGAAAATATTTCAAAAAAAAAAATAATGGCTATTTAGTACCAGTTAGGAGTGAACACGGTTCGATTCGAACGATTTGAGACAAATTTTCAAACTAAGCTATTTAAAGCGATTTGAGATTTTTTCAAATCAAACCAAATCACTTCGATTTCTAAACCAAACAAATCCAAACCATTTTTTTCAATTTGGTTTTGTTTAAAACCGCTGTTTAACAAAAAAAAAATTAACATATATCAAATAAGTTAAATCATAAATATTAGTCTAAAATTTCATGTTAAAATATAAATTGTATTATTAAAAAAAGTACAAATCAAAGTTATATAATTATTATCATTATAATGCAACAATATGATATAAATATTTTAAACTCTTCGTCGATACTAATGACATCCATCTGCAAGTGTAATCCATGATTCATTTGCTTCATAAATATAAAAATGTAGTGCATAAATTCATTGATTAAAGTTAAATGATATAAAATAATTAATAAAATAAAATGATTAAAAAAATCAAATACTAGTATCTAACTATTATGACTTTTTGTTAATCATTCAAAGTTTCTCCTAAATCTAAATATTGGTGAATTACTTTAAGAGAGACTGGCAAACAGACAATTAATAGAACAAAATAATATAACTACTAATAAAAATATAAAAATAATTACCAAAAAATAAAAGAATTTTAGTAATCTGACTTGAATTTGAGCAAAATTTGAGATAATTATTATAAGGAAATGAAATGTGCACGTTTGAATTAAAATCTAGATTTTATTATCTGCTCAATTGTAATGGAGAATCGATGAATGTGATTTAATATCAATTGTTCAACACGTTACCCAATTTGAGGGTTTTAGATTCACAATTATGAAGACTCATAAATATTTGGATATGATTAATTAATTAATTGAGATGTATTATTGTGGATTTGAATTTAATTGAATTATATCTAATATAAATGTATCTTTTTGATTGAAATGCGTTAAGTTTTATTGGGTTAAATAAAATTTAGACTAATTTATTTACAGATTTTTTTGGGTTAATGGTTTGACAGTTTAAAACGGTTTATAAAGATTGAAACCTAAACCAAACCTCTTCGAAGCGGTTTGATTCGGATCAAAACCAAAATGTTGACGGATCCACGTGAAACCAAACCAACGGTTTCAAAAAACGATTTCGGTTCGATTTTGCAGTTTGCCAATTTCATTGTTCAGTCCTAGTACCAGTGATGCTAGGATATCAATTTAAATGACTATACTTGATAGATTTAATCAAATAAATCATGTGACAAAGTATTTAAGTGAATTTATCATTTAAGAGTGATGTTATTCAACACCACTAATATCAAACATCAATTTAGATGATAACAGGTTGTCATTAGATGATAAATTTACTAAAATAGATTTAGTTGTATAGCGAACCATCCGATGTCAATATGAAACAAAGTTCTCTACTCTATGCTACTCAAAATGGCGTAAATCTAACTAATTTTGCATGAAGTCTTCAACTCTATCCATAAATAATAGATAGAAAGAACGGATATCAAATTTCTTTAGTTAATTAAATTCATTTAAAAAACTATAATCACCAAAAATGCTAATAATCTGGTGGGGTAGGCTGTTCAAATGCTACTATGTCGCTTCCCCATTAAAAACCCGCCTTAAAATTCTATCCAAATTCTCAGGTATCTCTTTCTGCTGGACACGTGTATGCATGCCACGAATAAATGTACACGTGTCATCAAATCAGGGATTTTCGTACACAATATATATTTGTCACACCTGCTTGCCGTTTATTCATTAAAATCTGGTTTCTAAGAAAAGAACGGTGAAAATGCAATCTATTAAGGAAACTGCTGCTAATGTTGCTGCGTCGGCCAAGTCTGGCATGGAGAAAACCAAGGCTGCCGTGCAAGAAAAGGTATTTGTTAACACGATTGATTCGATAAGACGATTTGTTCATTCCTATGTATTGAAATCGGACAATGTTATTTGATGCAATTATGTAGATGGAGAGAATGAAAGCTAACAATCCAACTGAGAAAGAGATGGCCACTGAGAAAAAAGAAGAAAAAATCAACCAAGCTGAGCTTCACAAGCAGGAGGTTCGTGAGCAGAACGCCCCCGCAAAGCAGGCGGCGCAAGGCCACTCCTATTCAACGACAGGGGAGAAGGGACAGGCCACCGGGGGACACCAGATGTCGGCACTGCCGGGACATGGTACTGGACAGCCCACGGGACAGGTTATCGAGGGTACTATTAAGTCCCATCCTATTGGCACTGCCACGGGAACTGGGAGGCCAACCACGGCGCATAACACCAAGGTCGGTGCCGGAACCAATAAAGGATACGGCACTGGTGGTGCTTATAATGGTTAGCCAAGAAAAATGTGTCGAAATTTTATGCTGTAGTGGCTATAAATTTGTGTGTTCATTAGGTGTTTGTTGCAGTAGATCTTTGTTATTATGTATTTTTCTGAATTAATAAAATATAGCAGTAGAGCTTTGGAAAGTAGAACATCTACAGAAAACTATTTTCACATTAAGAATATCGAAGTAAAAAAAAAAAATTGAGGAGAAAACATACCAAAGAGACAAACAAAAAACATTTATTTTATATGTACAGAATCGGAAGTTTTCCAGATTAGACATATGGAATGAACCTCGTGTAATTAAAATATTGTCAAAAAATTTCACCCACCCCCCACCCATTGTATCTGATCTGGTGGAATTCTGTGAAACCTCACCTCTCGAACCAAACGAAAATCAATCGGCACAAAGCAATTTCAAATCTAGTACCCAAAATTAAGAACCAGCTCTAACCCAATTTATTTTTTAATTAATAATATTTATATGTTAATTTGATGATTAATTTTTATTAGAAAGATGAACTTTTCATTTTTATTGAATGCAATATATTAACTTTCGGTAATTAAACGTCGTACTTTATTATTTAAAAATATTGATTTAATGAACAAAAATCAAATCAAACCATACCAGACCGTTCGATTTCACAAGTACTTATGGCACCATAATAAAAAAAAAAAATTCTGGTTCCGATTCGTGTCCTGTTCTATTCAGAACCAAAATTTGGAATGATAATGCCTAGTTAAGCTAGTCCCATTTTTTTCCCCTAAGTTTTTTAATTGAAAAATACGAGCATAAGTACAGCTAAATAAATACTGCAACCAAAATGGATCAACAAACCGAAAATCATCTGATACAAGGGAGGAAAACTGCAATTTCTACAAATGTCTGAAATGTATTAACCAGATGCCTAGGAATCCTACAATAATCTCATTACGCCATTATCTTGTATCCATGGCTAAAAATCCAAAGTCAAACAACATGTGCAAGAGCATTCGAAATTACCTATTCATGCCCCAGGTTGGCGCAACTCAGCTTCCCCATGTGCAAAGTGGCACCTATCACCAAACGTGCAGGACCCTTTAGAAAAATTCTCACAAATCTTGGTCTTGTAGTTGCTCCTAGGGGCGGCAGGACCTCCAGTCTGTTTCGCCGGGCCTCCAGCTGGTTTGGCAGGACCACCGGCAAAGCCTATGCTACTAATCAGGTCTCTTACCATTGCACTTGCTTCCTTAATTTGCTCAAATGTACCCTCAAGCTCTATGTTCCTAAGATTTGTATCCGTCTCGTGATCTCTAATAGCTAACTTGGCTCCCGTTTGCCTACAAATCTGCTTAGAGTTCACTCCCCCCTTCCCAATAATAGCGCCGGCAAGGGAAGCATCCAAGCTAATTTTGGCAGTGGCCGAGGCCCCAAAACTACCTGAAGGCACGGGTGGATCCGTTCTGCCACCAAATCGGCTGGGTGTAGGTCCGACTGCGCGAAGATCTTCCTGAGATGGTGCAATAGGCTTGCCGAGTTCCCACTCTCCATGAGCAAAGTGGCATTTGTCCCCAAATTTGCAGCCTTCTGCAGTGTTGAATTTGTTGCAAATTTTAGTTTTAACAGCAGTTGAAGCAGACCCGTTCGACATAGTCTGAGGTCCTGTTGTCCTAGCTGGAGCAGGTGCCAGGTTCATCATCTGGGCAACAGCATTATAACCACCAGGAACATAGTGAAGGAAGTGGCAACTCTCACCAAATGGACACCCGGCAGTGCTACAAGAAGAATAAGAGATACATCGTAATTAGATTAAAAATATACCATTATGAACGTCTTTAAAAGGTAATATATGATGTAACAAACAAGAACCAGAGAGTTTAATGTGTGAATAATCACAAGCAAGGGGCTGCCAGATACAAAAATACATTAAGATTTGAGTCCCAATGGGTAAGGAGAAGCAACTAGATAAAGGGGGAATTAAATGAATATTATATTGAAAACAAAATGTAGCTACAAACTTTGGAGAAACTTTTGATGAGGTCAATCAAGTTAATAACTAGATTGCTTCACCTTAGAATTTGATCGTTTCTTTTTTCCTCTCAGACTAGTGGATTTTGATTGAAGGACCATCATTCAGTTAAATTACTTCAGGTAAAAGTAGTTTTTTTGCTTATGGATCAGAATAATTTCAAGACAACTTTGATGATACATGAAAGATTTACTTTAATATTAGAGGGATGAGAAAAGGAAAAAAATCGCAAAAATAAAAAGTAGGAAAAGAAAGATGAAGTTTGAAAATCTTCATTCATAATAAAAAAATTAAAGGTGGAAGAAAATATTTTTTTCTAGGACCTAGCCTGGATCAGATACTAGGCAATTGAACTAGATTAACACTCTATAAAGAGCATAATATGCAAGCCAATCAACATCAATGGCACGGGCATAACTAAAATATACCTTTCACCTAGGTTTCTTACCACTATTTACATCATTTATATTGTAAATTCTTATCCATCACCTCCATCCAAAAACTATGGGAAATTTAGGACATTAGATTCTTATCTTCGTAGTTTGGTCTGAACGTATTTCCCTTCCAACACTAATTTTTCTTCTCCAATGGTGGAAGTTCTTAAAGCTCATTATATCCATCATTCAAAACATTTTATTAGAACTCCTAAATTGAAATAGAAATCTAACTTGAAATCTAGCAACAAAGCAGTAGAAGGGTTTGAAAAGGCTAAATCAGGAATCAAGTCGCTCTGCCTCCTAAGGAAAAAAGAAATAGCAAGACCACCTAAAAATAAAAAAGATAAAATCTGGGGGGGAAAAGCTACAGCCATAATAAACCATAAATTATCTAATAATCTACAATATAGCATTTCAAGAAAATAAAATTCTAATTTGCAAATGTAAATAAAATGTACGCATCAAAATAGCAAATAATACGTTCACAAAGCAGTTATCGAATCACTAGACCACTAACCACAACCAGAACAAAAAGTCAAACAAATGAAACAAGTTACAAGCTATTTATGAAAGTCTTTTGACATTCAAGAAAAAAGAAATCCCAAAGAAAAATTAAAATAAAAACATAGAGGTGAACAAGAAATGTTGAAAAAGGCTGCAACTTCAATTTGAAGTTTATCACACTTTATTTGTAAGACTAACATATGCTTGACTCTTCACTTTCCTCTTCACTAATCTCAAATCTTATATTTTAAGTTTGAAGGTTGGTGGCATTTGAAAAGGCTCAAAAACCTAATAGCATTCCATTCTGAAAATCCTATCTAAAAAGTCGAGGTTGAAGAAGAAAGCCTGGAGAAGACAGACCTTAGGAGCACACTAACTAGCCTCGATGTGGGCACCAGAGTAACTCCCGACATAACCCTTCACAACTGGCTAACAACGCATAATCTTTGAGACTCTTTATAACTGCCTCACACAAGGCATACATCAAAGCATGGGGTTCAATGGCACTTAATAAATGCCTATAAGAAGCAGCACAAGGAAACCGCTTGGACAATTTTTGAATACAACGGGTAGTGAAAAGCTTTGAAAAAATAATAATAATAATAAAATAAAATAAAAAATCTTTGCTAAGTCAACAAGCACCAGTTTAACTTTTTGGGTGGCTTTGTTACCTATTCCATTAGAAACAGCGGATTTTTTGGTACATCCATATGTATCAGGATCCCGATTCATGGATTTCTCAATTCGAGAAATCTAGATAAGAGGATCGAATTGTAGAAATAGAAAACGAAATGAAGGGGACTAAACAAGAACAAGAGAGATCCGCCGAAGATCCTTCTCAGTGTTCATTCCGTTGTATTGAATGATCCTGTTGGTTGCTTTCTGTTCATAGAATGCATACAGCTCTGGAAGTTGTTCCAATTTATTGATTGGCATTAACCCTAGATCCTTGCCCCCAAGAAATGAATTAATCCGTATATACTGAGTTCCAATCTAAAATCAAAGTTTTGTGACTTAAAACTGCAAAGCGATAAATTGTATTCTGACCATGCAAGATTGCTACAGAATTTTTCATTCCCAATATCAATTAGTAAGATAAAAATTTCAAGCTTAATTTTCTATGGCACACATTGCCCTGTTCTGTTTTGTAATATTAAAAAAGCAGTTATACAGTGTTGATTTTGGTATATATTATAGGACTTCATTCATTTAAAATCAAAAGGGCATAGCCGGTACTGTAGTGTGTAATTGATTATAAACAGAGAACGAAAGTGCTATTGAAATGTTTGTACAAGTAGTTATCTTACTCCTCCAAGCACCCTTGTTCATTTAAAATCAAAAGGGAATAGCTGGCACTATAGTGTTTAATTGCTTATAAAACAGAGAACTACAGTGCTATTGAAATGTTTGTACAAGTAGTTATCTTACTCCTCCAAGCACGTTAAGTCTTCCAAACATGTATATCATCGTAAATAATTAAGAAACAATTCACTTGTCTCTGCTTCAAAATGTTTGACAATACATAAAAGGAACTATAAAATGTCAATTTTGGTAAATTATAGGACTTCAAAAACATCATATTGATATGGACGAGTAGTAATTGCATTCATTTAACATCAAATGGAAAGGCGCTAGTGTTTATTGCACATAAGGCATAGAATTAGAAGGCTGTCAAAATGTTTGTAGAACTACTTATCTTACTCCTCCGACCATGTTAAGGCTTCTGAAAATGTATATCATTATAAATTATAAGAAACAGTTGACTCTTGTTAAAAATAATTTACAATTTCATATATTGTGTGAAATTACAGAACCCAAACCACCTAAAAATGATAGACAATTCCATAGATCATGTGAAATTCACACTTCACAATTAAAATCATATAGTGTGTTTCCTCATGACAATGGTAGAACATTACTATAATTAGAACTTCTGAATACTAACAACTGCCAAAATGTTCAATTTCAGATTATTCGCATTAGGTAGGTAAAGATTTGAACCTGAAAAACTTCGTGCATGGCTTTGATTTGCTTCCTATACCACTTGATAAGGAGTCCATTTCTGTTACAAAACATTAATTACTTTTTCCCAGTCAGATTTTCCTTCAACTATTACCATTAATGCTTAAAAATTAAATTTCACCTTCAAACCAAGTATAATTGAAACAATTAATATCCAAACTCTAATAAATGCAATCAAAAATTAAGATTATGCAAATGTTCTAATGGTTGATATGTGTGAAGATATCTTTTATTACAAAAATTAACAGCCTGTTAACATCATTTAAGAGATTACCTATTGAAGACATTGTTTCAGTGTTTTTTCCCATTACTCAACATATAGCATTGAAAACGAAATTTAATGAATTTCCATTTCCAAAAATTTACATTATTCTTTTCGCAAGCTCGCGGTATCTTGATTTTTGTGTCCATAATTTATGATGGCAGTTCAATATTTTTAATCTATCATTTGTTCAAAATATCGTATAAAAAGAACAAAACATGATTACTTTTTTCTGTCCCACGAAAAGAATTCCACAGCAACAAATAGAGGGAGGCCTCATAATAAACCTATATCTATTCAACAAAAAAATGAAATTCTTAAGTAAATTTAAAAAGAAAAAGTGAAACATTAAGAAAACCTGGCTTAGATTTCTTGAAACCGCCATTGGCATTAAAAGTTGCTTCGCCTCTACCTCTCTTGCGAGTGTCCATATCTCTCAGTACACAGATCGACTTCGAACCACACAAAAAATCCTAAGCAAAAGAAATTTCGAATTTAACACGAAATAGCGGAAAAAGCTAAAACCCTTAGAGCTATAAAAAATTTGAAACTTTGGCTAAAGAAAAGAGAACTATGAAAAAACAAGAAATAATTACACAAGGCAAAACCCTACCCTAACTCTCGTTCTAGGGTTTTCGTGAAGAAAGATAATTATACATACCGTAGATGTATTTATTTATATTTTTTACGGGCATCCGGATTTGGAAATTGAAAATTTAAATTTGGTTTATGGTTTTTGGGTTCCGCTTGCGAGAGGAAAACGAAGGTCATTCCGTCATTCACGTGCTATGATTCCAACTTTCACGAAATCAAGGAAATGTCACGTGCACTGATCGGGTTAATACTTGGGCCCTGGCCCATTAACTAGAGGCCCACAATTTTTTTGGTCAGGTAAAAAAAATTGCTTATGACACTTAGAGCATGCTTGGTGGAAATTTTAATCCAATTAACATCAATTTTTTGATCATTATTTCACTATTCCAACTTTTATTTTTGAATTCTTCTTTCATAAGTAAGACCTACTTTATCTCTAATGATCAAAAAAATCAATTAACAAAATATCTACCAAACAAGCACTCATTTTGTAAAGTGAATACACTTCTAGATTATCGTTCAATTTTTATCATTCTAATTCTTAACTTTCATTTCTGCAATATTGACATTTATTTGTAATCCATTCCCCCACTTTGTAAACTTAGCCGTGCTCAACAACCATTAAATTGAATTTTGAAGAGAGGGGGGGGGAAAAAGGGGGGCAAAGGGGGGGGGGGGGAAAAAGGGGGGGCGGGGGGGGGGGGGGAGTTCTAAAATAGTGATTTTTCAAAAAAAATAAATTTTGAATTACGTGCAACGTATTGCATTGTGAAAATATGCAGTTAAAAATAAATTTAAAGAAACATTAATTTAAAGATTATCAAACGTGACTTGATAATTTGCTTCAAGCATTATATAAATGTTTCATCCATCAACCGTAGCTTTACCTCTAGAGGAAGGATTATAAATACATTCTAATCGACATAAAAATCCGACTACATCCACTCTACTCGATTTGTATAGATCATCTCATTATGAGAATGGCGATTCTTGATAAGTAAAAAGAACACCTAATAAATGGTTAACCCTTTGAATAATTGCTATTTCTTGTGCCTGCATAAATCATCGAATTTACTAAAACATCTCCACCACCCACCCGACCGGGAAGGGAGAAAAGGAGGGGGGGCTGTTTCGTCCTACAAAAAAATTATGTAACACAGAGACCACTTAAATGAAAACCTACTCTAGAACTCTATTGACATGTTTGTACATAGTATTGGACAGTATTGCACCTTTTAACTAGTTTTTTCTTAATCTTATCTGGTACTGTCCAATCAGCATAACAAACATGTCATATGTGCGATAGATGCTGTGTATCTCCCTCAGACATCAGCTTGGATCCACCTTCGAAATCCCAAGTATAGGCCATTGATCAGTACCCAGTTAAATCTCCTGTGCAACCGTTCCCCGATAGCACATTAAGACCCCCTGTGCTTCTGTAAGAAATGCTTTCATCGACCGGGAATCCTCCTGCAATGAGATGGTGCCGTCCGTAATTTAAGGCTACTCCCAACCTGAACCCTAAGTCGGTTCGTGTTTTTATATCCACTGCTAGTCTGCTACCCAATATCTGCAAATTCAGGCACGGTCGACCAATCATCTATTCCAGATATTAGATTAGGTCCAAAGTCGAATGGAACCATCCCTAAACTGTCCAGGGTTGGAGCCACTTCATCCAAGTCAAACACACAAGTATTGTCAAAATAAGGTGATTCGACTACTGGCATGCAGGAGGACATACCACCATGCCACACATCAAAGTCAGCAGATGGCTTTGCCATTGGTTGCAATACCGGACCAACAGTTATCTGGTGCACATCAGTAGCATCTACAGCAGTTTTTCTCAGTTTCGTTTTAGAAGGCTTGGTTGAATCAGAAACAGGGTGCTTGTGTTTCCCCAAATACTGTAATTTCGTTTGAGCAGCAGATCTGGCATCACCTGTGGGAAAAGCCACTGATCCCCACCCTACAGAACTTCCAACACAAGTTCCTGCCACAGCCCTGAGAATAAAGAGAGAAGGAATTTTTCACAACTCATATTCAGATAACATGGCAATGAACAAGTTAAATATAATGTCTAATCAAAATTCCAGCAAGTGGCCATTACCTGAATCTGTTTTCAACCATATGCTGGGAAGATTTGAAATGATGATCTTCGCCTGCATACCCCTTAAAAGATGGGGAAAGGTCAGTGCCATTTATAGAAAGTCTTATGACAGAGGGCAGGGGCATTGCCTCGTCCCTTTCTCCTTGAAGTTCAAGGGTAATATCCAACTGCTCTTTTGCCACCAATGGCTCCTCCCTTGGGGGAACAACGAAGGCTCCATCAGCATTTTGTGTGATGTAATCACTTTTAAGAGCAGCTTCTACTAACTTGCCACACTGTTGCAGATTAGTCAATTTCATCTTTTCCAGTGGTTTCCTCAACGATTTCTGTGATATGTGCTCAACTGTAGAAGCTAACAACTGGCCAGAAGAATAGAATCCATTTTGGGAAAGTAAGGTACTGAGTTTGCTTCTATGGCTGGATGAAACCCTCCAGGCAGAAGAAAGCAAGGCAAAAAAATGCTTTTGAACAAGTGATTCGTGATCAGGAATTTCAGAAGCAAGGCCAAGCAACATCCCAATGTTGTCCTAACATGACAAAATATGCTTATATCTTAGGGGGGGAAAAAGAAAGAGAGAGAGAGAGAAGAAAAGACAAGAAAACAACAATCAGGCATATATAATTAAAAAGAAAAAGAAAAGAACAATATATACGTCCGAAGGATTGGAGAGTAATACTCAGATGTATTGTTGATCACATCTCAAAGGGTTTTCCTCATAGAACCCAAGAAGTTAATGTATTATTATTCAAAAATCATCCCCAAACAGCTGGTGGGAAAAATTACCTACATGGTAACGGTAAGCTAAAGATAGCAAGAAAAAATAGATAACCTGGTGATCGTGTATCTGAAAGGTTTTATTCAGCAACTCTGTATAATTAACAACTCTTGGGGTTCAACCCCTACATGTTTCAATCCTGCATGTTTTCATTAATGCATTTACTACACCTTAGATATGCAGACATTTGTAGCTATTTATAAATTATGCCACAAGACCGCAACATAACCATGAGAAGTTGAAAATCATTATTTAAAACTCTTCTACAGCAAAGATGCACTGCACCATGATGTCCAAGACATTATATTTCCATTCCTTATATCTTCTTATCCCTTTCATTTATTTTGTTTGTTTTTGTCTTCAATATTGAGAGGAAAAAGTTGTTTCTAGATAACATACCTCAGTTACTTTCAGAAGAGCCTTCCCAGATCCAGTATTGCCCGCTTTGTCATTATATGGAACGTCAGTGCCAGACAAAACATATTTTTGAATGAGTTCCCTAAACCTCTCGCAACAATGGACTGGATGACGAAATCTTCCCCTGTAAGACCCACCAGCAGTCATTCCATACAAGATTTCACTGGCTATACTCCAATTTGGGCCATACTCATGAACCACAGCACATAATGTAGCATCTTCATGCGACGACCAAAAATCAGGTGAAGGGAAACAATCTTTAGACCAAGTGTTCCCTTTCTTTTTTAACTTCTCTGGTTTTATTGTGAAAACCCTTTTCTGAGGCATGAAAGAAATTGTAAGTTTCCCACCCATCCTGCTCTTGCTTGTTGGCTTGGATTCAACATCAACTCCATTTTCAAATAGCTGCAAGTCTTTAGGACCATTCTGCTGCTTGCCAGGATATTTGGAATGGATAATAGGGGATACATCAGAAGCCTTCTTCAATTTTTTGGACTTTCTTGTACTCTTCCGTTCATCATCATCTGATGCTGGTTTACGTTTCTTCTCCCCAGCTGGGTATGGGAAATCAGTATCTGAGGAGGGGATCATCTCATCATCTATGATTTCATCATCTATGGACATTGGTTCTATCAATGACTTTTCTTTCACAACTTCTGTATTAGAAGCTAGAGCTCCTTTCTTTAAAGATTTGAACTTAGCCTTTTTAGTTTTCTTCTTGGACTTGGATTTCTGAACCATAGACACATCATTCCTGTTTTTACAAAAAGAAGTTATAATCTACCACAGAAGTAGGAAAAATTATTAGAATCATAACTGTTAAGAGAAATTATTATATTCCAAGACAACATATATCTGCATTCAGTAAGAACTATACAACCCATCTTATAGCATGTTGCATCATATTATGGTACCATTACAAGCAACCATTGCTGCACTGGCAAACTTTGATACGATGATTTAGCAGAAAAACATTAGTTACATTCAATAAGCAAGTCCAAGCGCCTCAGCATTTTATTCCTATATTATAATACTACTGTTCAGGCCAAAGAAGCAATGTCAGGATGCAATTCTATGTTGCTGTATTTATACATACCCATGCAGCAATTATTTCCAACAGCCACAAAAAGAACTGGCATTTGACACCAATTGTAGGGCTAGAAATCAAGAGAGAAATATTTTACAATCAGACAAACAAGTTGTCCGATAGTACAGTGAGCAAAGTTGTGATTCGGAAACTAATTTCAATTTATAAATTCTTAATATCCTAGCAGGAAATGTGATTTACTTGATCGAAGTTATTTTATAAAATATTTAAAGATGGCAATAATGTAGAGCTAGAGAGAGAGAGTAAATTTAAGAGGTAAAATTATATAGAAAATCAAATCTGTGGGGATAAGACGATGTTTATCTTGTAGCAAGTAATTATTCTTAGTGCTTCACCAAGTGGCAGCAACCCATGTAAAGGATAACTATATATGAAAACGTTAGTCATATCAGATATTAATAAAATTCAAGCTTCATAGGGCCTCAAATATGAATTAAACCATCATATTTTGCTGGTCTCAAACTACTAGATTTACATAATTATTTTGAGACGTCGGGGGTAAAATTTTACATAAATCAAAGCATTCTTTGAATTTCAGCCTCTAGAAGGTGCACGGTCAACTAGACTAAATATAAGAAAGAAGCTATTTCATGGTAGAACAAGGGATAGAACAGATATGTCTTTGAACAACTCAATAACCAACATAATTTTAGCTTTTATGATGCTCACTGACCTTAAAGAATCAGAATTTCCACATTCCAAAGCATCATTCTCTTGGGCTTCACATTCTAGCTCTTCCTTCAACTATCAAACATTATCAAAATGAAATCACATCAGCAAATTATATAATTACACATTTAGAGGTGAAGGAGACATTCTCTTTTCTACTTGTGGGCCAATAGAAACGAAGCTACAAAGTTTAACGAAAGGGAGTAGCGCACTTCATTTCTTCCTTTTTAATTAGAATAAAATAAAGCTAGTGTCACAGACCTGATGTTGAGCCAGCGCCTCAATTTGTTGCCTGTATACCTCAGTTGCAAAATCAGCATCCCATCCTGATAGCAGAAAATTCTTACAATTAACACAAAGCCTCATAGCATGTTCAGTTCTTCCTGATACGTAAACAGATATATGACATACACATAGCATGCCCAATTACAATAATTATGCAAATAACCATCCAAGTTTGAACTCCACAAAAAAGACGTTAAATGTTATAACAGGAACATACATATATATATATATATATATAATGCAATGACAGTAAATAACCGAAAGTCAAAATAATTTACTTGCTCAGATGGCGATAACTGTAGTTAAACAAGATGTGTTATTTACAAGAGCTAAAGACATATACATTTGAAGAAATTAAAGAAAGATAATACATACTTTCGTACACAAAAGGTTCTTCATCATCATCTATCTCTGCTTCCATATCCTCTTTTAACTTCTCAATGCGATCCAGCTCCCATTCTGCTTCCTGAAAATGAATGTTGGATTCTACTGCAGTCTTGTCTATAATGGGGTCCCACAACTCGAGAAAACGCATGGCATATCGATCAATGGGACGCAGTTGATTCTCGAGGGATGTGATTTCTTGTCCTGCAGCAGCTGCAGCTGCAGCCATCTGTTTGACATCTGCCAACATATCAATATCATCTTCTCTACCAGCAAAAGTGAGTGCTCTTTCCTCAATAGCATCACTTCCATTTAACGCTGCAGCACCTTCATCCGATGTATTATTTAATAAACCATGGTCAGCAGGCTCATCAGGCTTCATATCGTCTTCATTAACCAGCTCATCATCTTCCAACTTCGCAATGGCTTCCTCAGTAAATTCTTGATTGTCCACAGCCTCTTCTTGTTCAACTTTCTTCAATGCCATGTAGTCAGCCTCATCTTCGGCATTTTTCAAAGCAGCCTCCAAATCCACACTAGATAGAGTAATGTCACCAACATCTTGGGAAATTTTCTCTTTTTGCATATTCTTAGTGGAAATTGTTTGGTGGCCTGAAAACAAGTCCATGGGATCCAGTTTTTTGAAAAATTCAGTGTTATAACTTCCGCTCTGTATGACCAAATCATCAAGAGCACGCTTTTGATTCGCTTTCTTCAAGATATTTTCTTCAATGGTACTCTCGCTGATCAACCGATAGATGTGAACTTCACGTGTTTGCCCTATCCTATGGCACCGATCTTGTGCCTGTTGATCCATGGCTGGATTCCAGTCACTATCATAGAAAATGACAGTATCTGCACCAACTAGGTTAATGCCAACACCTCCACTACGTGTTGACAAAATGAAAAGAAATATTTTTTGGTTTGTATTAAACCGCTGCATTAATGTTTGCCTTTCTTCTGGCTGAGTGGAACCATCTAGACGCATGTAAGTGTAACCATACAAATTTATGAAAGCCTCCAAAATATCGAGCATCTTTGTCATCTGGGTGAATATAAGTGCCCGGTGACCTTCAGATTTCAAACGCCTAAGCAGAACTGAAAGCTCCTGCAACTTACCACAGTCGAACTGGATAAGTCTCCTATCAGGAAAATAGACTTGCCTTCTCACAATAGCAGGGCGAACAGGGAATAGAAGTGGAGACAAAACTTCAGTGCATCGGTCCTTGTATGTTTGGTGAATAAACACATTCTCTCCACCATTGCTGCACCAGCAAACAGGGGACGGGGCACGTGCAGCAGGAATTGCAAACATAAAACTTTCAACTTGATCAACCATTTTTTCAAATCTTTCAACTGGTGACAGCACAATGTCGGCAAGCTTAGAAGAGTATTTGTTAGACAGAGGATTACATTTCAGATGCTGAATCCTATTGACAGGATGCTTCACCGTGACAAGCTCTCTTAAACTGGTTGAATACATGGGTTTTTTCTTGCACCTCAAAGAATTCCACCATGTAACAGATCCTGCCCATTCCTTGGCTTCTCTCAATCTTTCGTCAAAAAGTGCCTTTTGGATCTCTTCAAAAATGTTGGTCGTGTGTGGTTTTTTCTTATGCTTGAAACCAGAAGATTGTACTCCCAAATTAATTAGACTAGCACGATGCTCAATTAAACTTGATGGTGTAGCAATAGCTTGAATTTCTTCACTCTCCCAAGATGTCATGCAGAAATCCAGATGTGTGAAGACAAATCCCATACCAATAAGGTCAACAGTTGAAAATGGACCGTGCGTGAGCATTGAGCAAACAGCAGAACTCAGTTGCATGTCAATGCCACTCATATCAAAAGAACTAACGATTGGACGGCCTTCAAATAAATCAGGATGATTGCAGACTTTACGAAGCTGCATGATAACACTTATCATTCCAAAAAAATTGGAACTTGCTAGTGTAGCTTGTGTCTCTGAGCTAGCAATGAAGTCTTCGTAAAGGTTACGCTGCCTCTTTGAGAGTCTACAATAGATGACATGTTCGTGTTTCATAGGAAGCTGCTTCTCAACGTCTCTTTTCAATCGACGGAGTAAAAAAGGGCGGAGGACATTATGTAGCCTGTCAACTACTTCTTTGTTTACCTTTTCTTGTCCCTCAACCATTCCAGATATAGGATTACTGAACCAATCCTTAAATTCTTGGTGAGACTGGAAAATATGCGGCATCAAGAAATGCATAAGAGACCAAAGTTCCATGAGATCATTCTGTAGAGGTGTACCAGTTAAAAGAATACGCCTTTTCGAGTTAAAATTAAGGAGTGTTTGCCATCTTTGTGACTTCCAATTTTTTATTAGATGAGCTTCATCCAGAATCAGGTACTTCCACTTCTTCCTCTTGAAAACTTTTGAATCCTGAATCACAAGCCTGTAAGTCGTTATGCAAACATGAAAAGAATTGGGTTTTAACCACCCTTGCCTCTTTATCTTTCGCTCTTTTGCACTTCCAAAATAGGTCAATATTTTAAAAGCAGGACACCATTTAAGAAACTCGGTTTCCCAGTTGAGCATGACACTGGTTGGGACAACAATCAGATGGGGGCCCCATATTCCTTTCTCACAAGCTAAATGAGCAAGCAAAGCAATTGTCATGATGGTTTTTCCTAAACCCATTTCATCAGCAAGAATCCCATTAAGTCTCTTCTCATACATTGTCACCAGCCAATCCAAGCCAATATGTTGATATTCACGGAGAGGATACTTGAGAAGAAAAGGGAACTTAGTCCGCACTTTTGTTGTTGAGAATGTGTTTCCAGTTGGTTGCGCTGACCTGGCAACAGCAGCTGCATCAGCAATTATATTTTCACTCTGTTTATCATCTCTAGATTTCCCAATATACTCAATTCCATCTTCTGCATGGCAGCACGTGTTGGGCTGAAATTCATTCGATTGATCACCAGGCTGCTTACATTCAGAGTTCATCAGTGCTGGTGAAGCAAAGGATTCCTCAGAAGCAGAAGCACGTGAAGATTCAGAATCAACATCCACATCTTCATCGGTGCAACTTTCCTGAGAAGAGCATTCATACAATAACTGGATGAAAATGGGATTTGAACCCAGAACGGACAATATAAAAGCAATCTACAACATACCTTTTTATACCTCGCAAGCAGCTCATGTATAGGAATTTCACTTTCCCTTTGCAGCAGTGCAATCTGGAAAACAGTAGCTTTCAATTATCATATGAACCTTAATTTGTGCATGTGCAAATGTCATTGGAAGTAAAAATTCAGATTAATCTTTGGAGGAAATAAAACTTCAAACTAGGAGGTAGTATTTAAGAAAAGAAAAGCTAGAAATGCATGATTTTACCTCATCCACGGTGTCATTTGATTCTGCCTTTGCTATTTCCTCCTCCTCTAACAGGGTTGTTTCATCATCCTGAACATCAAAGTAATGCGTTGAAATAAGCCATTGAAATTTTCAGCACATGCTAAGGCAAGTCAACATATCAATATACTCCACCAAATTTACACTATAACTAAGAAACAAAGACATTCCATCTTGCCCCTCAAGGTTTTGAGTAAACAATATATAAGATTTTGGAAAACATTATAAAAACCATAGAACATTCTGCTCTCTGCGACTTNGTACTTCCACTTCTTCCTCTTGAAAACTTTTGAATCCTGAATCACAAGCCTGTAAGTCGTTATGCAAACATGAAAAGAATTGGGTTTTAACCACCCTTGCCTCTTTATCTTTCGCTCTTTTGCACTTCCAAAATAGGTCAATATTTTAAAAGCAGGACACCATTTAAGAAACTCGGTTTCCCAGTTGAGCATGACACTGGTTGGGACAACAATCAGATGGGGGCCCCATATTCCTTTCTCACAAGCTAAATGAGCAAGCAAAGCAATTGTCATGATGGTTTTTCCTAAACCCATTTCATCAGCAAGAATCCCATTAAGTCTCTTCTCATACATTGTCACCAGCCAATCCAAGCCAATATGTTGATATTCACGGAGAGGATACTTGAGAAGAAAAGGGAACTTAGTCCGCACTTTTGTTGTTGAGAATGTGTTTCCAGTTGGTTGCGCTGACCTGGCAACAGCAGCTGCATCAGCAATTATATTTTCACTCTGTTTATCATCTCTAGATTTCCCAATATACTCAATTCCATCTTCTGCATGGCAGCACGTGTTGGGCTGAAATTCATTCGATTGATCACCAGGCTGCTTACATTCAGAGTTCATCAGTGCTGGTGAAGCAAAGGATTCCTCAGAAGCAGAAGCACATGAAGATTCAGAATCAACATCCACATCTTCATCGGTGCAACTTTCCTGAGAAGAGCATTCATACAATAACTGGATGAAAATGGGATTTGAACCCAGAACGGACAATATAAAAGCAATCTACAACATACCTTTTTATACCTCGCAAGCAGCTCATGTATAGGAATTTCACTTTCCCTTTGCAGCAGTGCAATCTGGAAAACAGTAGCTTTCAATTATCATATGAACCTTAATTTGTGCATGTGCAAATGTCATTGGAAGTAAAAATTCAGATTAATCTTTGGAGGAAATAAAACTTCAAACTAGGAGGTAGTATTTAAGAAAAGAAAAGCTAGAAATGCATGATTTTACCTCATCCACGGTGTCATTTGATTCTGCCTTTGCTATTTCCTCCTCCTCTAACAGGGTTGTTTCATCATCCTGAACATCAAAGTAATGCGTTGAAATAAGCCATTGAAATTTTCAGCACGTGCTAAGGCAAGTCAACATATCAATATACTCCACCAAATTTACACTATAACTAAGAAACAAAGACATTCCATCTCGCCCCTCAAGGTTTTGAGTAAACAATATATAAGATTTTGGAAAACATTATAAAAACCATAGAACATTCTGCTCTCTGCGACTTCTTATATAGCCAGCAGTATAGCAGCAAAAAGAACAGAAGTATTACATATAATTTTTAAGGCACTGCAATACCCCCAAAAAAATGTAGAGGAATACCCTCTGAATTTATTACCATATCAAAATCCCTTTCTTCTCCAGTGGAAAGAACATAATCATCATCATCCTACAATGAAAAAAGTATATTATCAAAATTTATCATTTAGTAGCCTCTGAATAAAGAGAAAGTAGCCACTACAAATGGCTAAAAAGAATAAACGAATTTTAATTTATTCCTGCACTACAAAGGCTATTTAGAAGTTTCAGGGTAATGAATAGCTTGGCAAGCATAAGCAGATTAAATTTTGAGTTGATTAGTAGGAATGATCAAAGCCACGAACTAAGAAAACGCAAATAAACAAATTTACTAACAGGAACCAGAAATTTATGGCTGCATGTAACTAGTGCACTAATCGTCAAATACTTGCAAAAAAGCTACTTGATCAGTTTATTCAAGAGCGTGGACGAAGGGCCAGGGCCCAGCATATGTTCACGTGCATACAAATGCATTTATTTCTTCGTACCAATCCAAATTAGTCCCATTCTAATCTCTCTCAAAATGAAATCGCAAAACAGAATAGTCTAAGCCATACAAGCTTATCCCCTAAGTTCAGTTTTTATATATTTAATTATTATTTTGGGAAGATCAATTATTTCCCTTAATGTAAAATTCAAATATTGCATAATATATCCCCTCACTTCCTCTTTTATATTGCAAACTACAGATCAACAAAATGCAATAGTACTTTGACCTATAACCTAGACAGAAATTGTACCAAAGATTCTGCAAAGTACTAAAATCTTAAAGACACTCCACTAAGTGACTAAACAATAGAAAATTTAGAAAATATTAAAATCATTTGTAGACATCCATTAGAAGCCTTCCACTGCCAAAGTATCAAGGAATCAAAATCTAGTCCACTTACCTTTTGCATGCAAGAATGGTACATAAACAAGTCTAAAACTATTCTTGTAAGACCATTATCTTTGAGGTTAATAACATATAACACTGGACAATGCATATCTATTGGACACAGGATGCCTGCTAGGAATTTATTTAGTTAATAAAGCCAGTTCAACAAGAGAAATGATGAACATAGAATATTCCTGAAATTATTCTTAGAAGTTTGAAATACACATTCTTACTTGTTCATCATTCAAGTCATCTGACAAGTTCTTTTTCTTTGAATTATGAAATTTCTTTGGTTGATTTCTGATTTTGCCTATCTTGACTTCCGAAAAATGAATATTGGAAACAGCTAAACTGCCATTACTTTCAACCTGCATTAATCAAACAAAAGAAATATTATATTGAGCATCAGATGTGCTCTATAACTTGAGACAATATCTAAAACACATACAACTTACACAACGACGACCAGGTATTGCAGGTGGGCTGCCTCTGTCACGCTTACATACAGATACAATATCTTCCTTTTTTCCTGCACAAGATAGAATACATGCTAGAGCAAATTTGATAGTTAAGAAAAATACAGATAAAAAAAACTGCTGCAGACACTCACGATTACCATCTCTTGCTTCGGTTGCTTCAGGCGAGTGTTCGACTTCTCTTGCCTCGGTAGCTTCAGGTAACACACCATTCTCTTGTCTAGCCTCATTTGATCCAGGTAAGTCGGAATTATCTTCCTTTACCTCAATCGCTCGAGGTACAATATACTGTGGGCTACTTTCCTCGATAACTGCCAACATTTATACCAATTAAAATAATCAGAAAACAACTAATAGAATGGTGTGTAAACTGCTCATTATGGAAACTAAAGAAGAAACGAGTATATCACCATAATCACTGCTTGCTTTGCTAAGCTTTCAAGTGCTTACAAGAAATGGGTTCTAATGAATGTTTAGTTAAAAAAGTAGATACAATTAGTTGGTCCTAATGAATCTGACCAACTTATAAGCACTTAAAATCATTACCAAACAAGCACTCACGAAGGTAGTACCATTGGGTCTAACTACGATATGCCTTAGGGTTAAAAGAACCAGTTCACAGTGAAGTGAAATTTTGATGAATCTAGATTCAAGTCTTTGGATACAGTAATCATGTACATTAAAAATAATAATAATAATAATAATAATAGTTCTTCTAAGATGCCTATGAACAAGTTTTTAACACTAGACTAGAAAGGAAGCAGGATACATTTGAGGTCGTCAAAATACAGCTTTTCAATTTGATATCTACATAGATATGAAATGAAAATGTTATTTGCAATTCAATAGGGGTTTAGATATAGTGAGTAACTTATGACGTACCTTCCTCTGCAGCATAGCGTTTAAGTAGCTCCTCAAGAGGTAGATCAATTTCAGTTTGCAAAACGGCAAGTTCTTCTTCTCTCTCTTCTTTACTTATAAGAGCCTCGTCTTCTTCAATAGTATGCTCATCATCTTCCTAAAGCAGGATCATCAATATATGGTGATTGTTTGATACTTTGTAAGCACAAAGTTAAAATGCTAAAGTAATATATTTCACAAATTTTTTCACCACACAAACATTTCCTAGGCTGGATTTTCAACATATCCAAGCACAAATTTTAAGTATTAAAGAAGCCTATGAAATTTCATTATCACAATAGATGCTTTCAGCATACAAGCATCAGCATTGTGTATCACCAGCAGCGAGTGAGCCCAGACCATTGGACTCAATCTTATATTACTCATAAGAAGTCGTTAAGCACAAAAGTATTAGCCTTGCATTTGAAACAAATTATGTACACCCAAGTAAGTTGATACCTCAAAATTACAGCAACAATAAGCACAAACAAAATTACCAGCAATGAGCCTAGGAAGATTAAATGCTAGACCTGCCTTGAACTATTAAAGTTTAATGGAATGAGTGCTAAAATTCACAAGATTGCTTGCAATATGTAGACACTTCAAAATAAAACAGTAAGGAAAAAGAGAAACTAACAGAACCAAATTAACAGCCATTCGAGTAAGAGTGCAAAAAGAACAAAGTACAGACCTAATTTTTAGTATTATAAATGCAAGGTATCAGCTGCAAATTATCTTAGACCTATCATACTTTCCAAAGCATAAACATTTTAACAAAATTTGCAAAGGCATAAATCAAGGAGGCTTACTGATTCATCATCAGAATGCACATCATAGTCTTCATCAACATCAGGAGACTTTGATTGAGATCCTAGCATTGTCAGTTCAAATGAGGAAACATCCAAAATTGCAGAAACAGTAAATAACCAAATGGAACAAATTCACCATTTCCCTACCAGTCACTGAATTAGCTGTCTGATTATTAATATCGTCACCTCCTCCTTTCCATTGAATACTCAACTGCTTTTGAGCAGAATACGAGTCAACTGATTTGCGAGGAGTTGGTGAGTTTACAAGGTTCTCTGCCAGCATCGTTGAGTACCTAGTAAAATAGCGAAAATAAAGAATGTTATTTTCAAAAAGATATAAAGAAAGAATGTAAAGTTAATTATGTTATGGATAACCACAATAACATCATGTGGAATGCCAGTACTATTAATTGTTCTCTACGTACAATAACTACATGAAAAAAGATTCCAGAGAACAGACAGTTTACCTTTCAGTTTGCCCTAGAAGAAACTCCAGCTGCTTATCAAGTGCTTTTTTCTTCTTTTCATCAAGCTCTAGCTGATGCTTGTACAGGACCTGCAACAAACACACAGGATTTTTTTTTGCTTCTGAGAAGGTAGTGGACACAACAGACTCGGATAATGATTAAAAGCAATTATCTTAAATGACTTGCCAGCTTCTCTATTTTTGTCCAAAACTTTTTTACGTCTTTAGAAATATTGACCGCCACCTTTCTCAACCGCTGTTCCTCTTCCTGATCAAAGAATTAGGAAAACAAGCACAACCATCAGTAAAATGTGAAAATAATTATCTGTTCTTGTATAGCTTACACGTATGTATCTTTTTTTTGGGATGACAACTAAATCTAAACCTTCACTCGCTTCTCTCCCCTTGTGGCCTGATCCAGCATGCCCTTGCTGGCCCTTATTGCAACTTTCTTTGCTTGAGCAAGTTTCCATTTTCTCTCTGATTCAAAGTCCTGGTAGTAACACATTTGTTAAAAAACCCCAAAAAAATAAATTATAAAACCACATATTATCATGCAATGGACCAAATGAAAGGAATTTAATTTCATTACCTTTGATAACCAAACCATCTCTTCCAGAACATGATCCCAGTGTGCTTTAGGACGTTGAGGTTCTTTGGGAGCTTCTAGTGCCTAGAGTAATAAAATTATAGCATAACTTATATTAATACATCAGTCCAGCATATCCCAGAACTGTGAAGTATCAATGTCAGCATGTTCTATTGCCCTGATCCAATCTGTTTTCTTCGAAGGCTACTGTTGATCCCAGACAAGATTAAAATTCCTCTCATGATGAATATCCTGATTTGAGATGGAATCCCATATGTACAAACTCGCAACTATATGAGCTGATAAAAACAATGTCTAAGGATGATTTCTGTTACACAATTTTATGGATATGATTTTGAATTTAAAGTTAGAATCCAAATACTAAATTTGGTTGGACACTAATTCAAGGATTTGCAAATATTCCAATCCTACAATTAGATCTCCTCCTTTGTGTGGAAATCTATAATTCAGCAATAGTTTAGGCCATATTGCTTAAGTTAATGAAGAGTAAGTTATGGTATAAAAGGATTAAAAAAGAAAGAAACACACAACTGGATCTTGGGTAATCCAAACATCAGGATTCCATTTATTGCTCTCAAATTCAAGAGTTATATTTTCCCTTAATGTACTTAAAAAGGCATGAATCCACGAGGTAGATCTGAGTAGTGAAAACATCAAATAAATTTAGAGTTACTTTGGCTCCAGGAAGTATAATTATGGTTAAAGTTTAATGTAATTTGTAAAGGATAGCTACATTCTCGTATAAAAACATTCCCACATTCACATACAAAAATATTTGAAATATAAACATAAAAAAAAGAGTTAAATATATTTACCTTTTGCCGCCTAGCCCGTGTTTCATGATCAAGCTTTGACCGTGGACCTTTGGAGGCCATAACTGCACCAAGATGCCTATCTCATACTTAGAGCTTGAAGAAAAAAACAAACGCCAATAATGAAAATTGCGTGTTAGTTCACTCTACATATCACAGAAAATGTATCAACATAAAGACTGCAGTATGATGTGGCAACGTGAAAGTGTGCAAACCATAAAATGGCTCAAAATGGATTGTCCAACACAAGCACCAACCCAAACAGTAAAGGACAAGCCAATTGTTACAAATATTAATTCCAGCATATCTTTGAAACACAAATGAAAAACTTCATAAGAATAAAAGAAGCACGACATTCAGATCTTGGGTTAGGTCAAGTTCCCGTTTTTCTTTAGTTCAGGGCAGGCAATTATTTGTACTTTACCACCTCTGACTTGGTTATGGTTTACCATATATGGGTACAAATTAAGTATGTTTATTCATGCTTATTTTCCTATGTGAAGAAATTTCATCAATGGTGCACCAACAGGGTGGAATCCATGTAAAAGAAAAAGACATATAGCTTTACAACTTCACAAGTAGTCAAACCCACAGCAGATGTCAAGGTGAACTACACCAAGCTAAATTGATAGAATTATTTCACTGCAAAGTTTGTTAGAGGCATTAGAGATCAAAGAAACAAAAAATTTAATGCAGTCCTCAAAACGCTGAAATTGAGAAGGAGCCAAGGCACCCAGACATTAGGAGTGCCAACCGAATTACAGCAAAAAAAAATACATTGTATCTAATTGAAATATGTTTTATAACTCTGTGTAAAAGAGAGTCACAAATTCAAGCACAATATTTTACACAACTATAGTAAATCTAGACGTGCACATCGCCAATCCAACACGTCTGTTATGATGCTTTCAATTTAATAGCAAGGCAAACTCCTTCATTCCACATATACTGATACATCACATTCTAGAGTTGTTCTAAACCATGGCAAATGCTTTATTTCCATTTAACCCCATGACACATCCCATCTCTTTACACTCCGAAGATATTATGTCTTAACAATATCCCATGACAGCTCTCCCCTAAACATAAAGTCATACATCCTGAAATACTTCAACCATCCCATCATTTACCCAAATCATAATCCAAGATATGGAGATCTTTATAAGCACAAAACCAATTTTAAACTTTCAGTAATTTTGATTCATGGGCAAGGCTTTGCACTCATTGTCTTTCAAAGATTTAAAGTGTGCTTACTCATACCTTGATCTAGAACAAGTAATTTTGTAAACAAATTAAGTGATCCAACAGGCCTCCCCAGAAGATTGCTTGTATTATATGTTATATCCTTCCATCAATGGCAAGGAGCAGTTGCCTAAGGCTATTGGCTCATAATCCCATGACTAACAGTCTGGATATCAAAATAATTTCAATGTAGGTCCCAAAGTTCCATGACACACTCCAATTTGCCACACCTGGGAACCTTTGACGTCATGTTTAGCTTTTCCATCAGATTGAAATCACCATCTCCAGAGAAATACAGGAAATTTCATAAACCAACTTCGTTAAGAATGGCTTTCAACATAAATCGCTGCTCTAAATAGAATTGCCATTCATACACAAAACCTAACTATTAGCAGGAATTTGATCGTGTTACTACCATAGATTCTCTCTCTCTCTCTCTCTCTCTCTATGCCACACCTGCCCTCCTCGTGAAGTGTCTTTCTTCATTTGCTCGTCTCTACAAAAACTGACCTAATGGTTGCAAAAGGCCCCAGGCCTTTAAACCTCTCCTGTTTAAATAACCTTACAAAGTGACAAGTTAATATGGCAGGGAATTTCTTGGGAGGGAAAATGCAACAGAGTCAGTGCAACTTAAATGCCCCCGTTCCATTCCCTCACCTTGTATAGTTCAATAATTTCTTCACTAGAAATGTAAACAAGTTTATCGAGGACAAAATTGCTCCAAATAGAAAAGCAATAACAACAAGCAAACAATAAATTAAAATAGAAAAAATCAAGAAATTTGTGACATCACCCAATCCCAGTTATATGGTGAAGGAAACTTTACCATTAGTTGCATAAAATACAGGACAAAGATTACTCTACTTCAAATAAAGAACATAAATCCGTACCTCAGAAAATTAAATACAAACTACCCGTTCAAGTTAAATGCAAAAAATGTCACACATAGTTAGTTCTTGTCCCGGCTTAATTTTCCAGTAACAAGATACAAATTCTACACACAAGCAACAAAATAAAGCAGAAAACTTCACAAAACGAAATTTTTCCAACAAGAAAAACAACTAAAGGCTAAACTCTAACCAAGAAACACGTTTTCACATGCACGAGCATACAGTAAATACAATACAAAAATTATTTTGACATGCAGAAGTAAATTCTCAAACTCACCAGCTAAAATCTCTTCGATTTTCAAGAAATGAAAAAAATTCCAACTTTCGCTTCTCAACAACAGATAAAGAAATCAGAAAGATCTGAACTTCTACAGAGAGAAGGAAAAATGACTCGGTGGAGATGTGTATGTGTTAGGGTTGTTTAGAGAGAAAATTCGGGTTTAAGCGCCGATGGGTTCCGACGAGTCTCAGATCCGGAAAATAAAATATATATATATATATGTATGTTACGTATATCGATATACTAAAATGTATGTAATATATAAAATTAATTGACAAAATTTATTTTTGGGACTTTTCTTGAGAAAGCCAATGGATTGAAGAGCGAGAGACTTTACTGTTACTGCGGGGATGAAGGACGATAGGTTTATGAATGAATGGGTATTTGATCTAACGGCCGTGATTGAAGGATGGATGCGATTAACGGGTATGATTTATTTGTCAATTAATGGTAATTATAAAGAAGCTGCGTAGTCTCCAAAAGTGTAGTCGAGTCTAATGCCTACTTTTTCTGCTTTAGCTATTTTTTTTTTTATATTAGAAGCCATGCTTATTTTTATCAAACTTGTTCTCAATTCTAGAATTAACTTTAATGTTCGACTAACGACTAAACGTGTATTCTTATTATTAGACATGAGCTTAGACCCGTGTACTATCTCTACATCTTATTAGAGTCAATTTGGTTAGTTTAAAAAGGAATGAATTTGAGACATTCTAAAAATAATTAAAATCCCTTTAAATTAATTAAGAAATAATAGAAAGATTTAGTCGAATTATGACAATGCACATCATAAAGGAATTTTGAAAATTCTTCTTTTTGTTTTTTAATAGTAAGATTCACTTTTGCCAAAAAGTTTCTAATTCTCGTTTTATGAGTGTATAATCTAAGCTCGTATTCGCTTGTCTATAATCGATGAAATCATTTGCATCTATTCCTCAAATATTCAAGACTTTTTTTTTTTATTGATAACTTAAATTATTTATAAACGATTTCCATACAAGATTTTAGTGTGTTCATCAATTTTTGAGGTCACGAATAATAGATTGTAATGAAATTTAATATTGAATTCCCCTTGATTTTTATTTTTTTTTAACACCTTCTTTAGATTTATTTTCGTTCCCTTTGAGAGAAGATTTAATTATAGCAATGCAATGTAACACTATCGTTGTTACAACACCAATTTAAGTGAAACCGAGTCATTGAGCCCTTTTTTGGAAAAAAAAAATACATTTTTAAATAGTATTTTGACATTATTTCAACCACATATTCTTTAATAAAATAATATTACACATAAATTCAAAATTTTTCTTTATTTTTTAACCACACATTTTCAATCAATACACTATTCAAAAATACATTCCCCCCGAAATGGGGCTCAAACAAGGGTTAAATAAGAGGAACAATCAAATGAGTCATATGATTTTACCTTTCATTTAGCCTATGACATGGTATCATTTAGAATGGTGTTCTAGTACCACCATCCCACCAAAAATCGAGTTGAATGGTAGAAAAGCAAGAAATGCCCCAAAGTAATATGGATGTATGGTGTGATGACTGACGTGAAGAATAGTGATTAACTAAAATGTAGACAATGGTTTACGAAGAAAAAGTAGCATAATCAGAGAAATGTTGGCATCGAACTGAAAAGGATTTCAAATACAGACTTTTTTCAAGCCAAATTTAGACAAAATGGACGATCAAATGTCGAATCGAGCCACCACTTGCAATGGGAATAACTTTCACGTGAGTTCCATAGAAGTCCTTTTACTAAAGTATTAACTAACAAAAGCAAGCTTGGCTTGGAAAATTTCTTAAAATTCATTAGCAAATGACATGAATGGGCTCAATTTGTCCAAGTCCTTTGTTTTAAAAGCATATGGACCTAAAATGAACCCTACTTAAACGAATCTTTATAGTTTTAAATGTGACAACACCTAAATGAAAAGAAACTTGCATGCTCAAATAAGTGATGTCAATGTCGCACTTATGCAAATGACTATAAAGTTCAATTAAACCCTCGTTTGATTCCCATTATTTGGCCATAAAATTGAAAAATATGATCGTTATCCATCACATCAAGTCATCATATTTGATTTTATATCTCTTGTGTAGGTCCAGTAATGATTATATTTTTCATTCTCATTCTTACAAAAACGGAAATCAAACGGGTCTTAAATAGAAAATACAATAAGACTTTAGATCAAGTATTACACTTCGGGAGAGGGGAATATATTTGTGTGCCCACCATATCAAGCCATCATAATTGATTTTATATCTCTTGTATGAGTCCCGTAACGATTATATTTTTCATTCTCATTCTTACAAAAAGGGGTCTTAAATATAAAATACAATGAGACTTTAGATTAAGTATTACACTTCGGGAGAGGGGAATATATTTGTGTGCCCACCATATCAAGCCATCATAATTGATTTTATATCTCTTGTATGAGTCCCGTAACGATTATATTTTTCATTCTCATTCTTACAAAAAGGGGTCTTAAATATAAAATACAATGAGACTTTAGATTAAGTATTACACTTCGGGAGAGGGGAATATATTTGTGTGCACGCGCGCGCTCAATCCACTCTACATTTCATGTGAATATTGTGCTATATTGTTTAACATCAACAACCTTTAGCTATCTCTTCCACTACCCTCTCAATAAATTTCATGACATTTTTAAGCATTAAAATGCAAAACTAGACATTACATCGGGCTGGCCCATCGATCAAGGCATATCTACTGTGGTTGTGACTAACCTAGCCTTAGTTTTGCTAGCAATCCAATCTTTTTAGCTGACTGGGTTAGTTGTTTGGGACTAGCTCACTCCATTTTGACACATCAATACCACATTATAATAAAAGATGATTAAATGGTTCTATCATTCAAAATGTTGTTTATTTGAAAAATTCAAGATTTTCCAATGTGAACAAATGTTACACATCTCGAATATTTGAGGAATTTTACCACTTTGGATCCCTCAATTGATTCATTTAGCAGCTCTGGAACTCCAGTGCACTCATAACAGTAATACACCCCCAGTCTACCTATAGTCTCTTTGATCAATTCTGATACATGTTTATTAGATTCTTTTGGATTGATAAATTCGATCCCTGCATACCATGTTGTAACTAATTGATTCTTGCATTTGGTTGGTTAAACACTACAGTTAGGCAATCAGTTAGGTGGGTTACAATTAGTTAGAATCAATGAAACTGTTACTTGTAATCTGGTAGTCATTATAACTGATGTATATATATACACTTCTTGTATATCTCTTGATCTGTGGCTATAAATAGGACCAAGAGGGCTGAGAATAGAATGTGAGCAAGAGGGGAGCATTTTCTGTTGAGAGAGAGTGAGATTGAGAGAGAAAAGTCTTTGTAGAAAATCTTTGAAACTTCCTATGACTTTTTTCCATTTGTTTCTCGGTTGAGTGATGAGTTCTTTGTTTTGTAAAACCATCACTGTGTAATATCCTCTTGAATGGCAGATTGAATGTGAAAGAAAATCCCTGTAAGTTGGTTGATAAAAATTTGTCCCAAAGACATGAAATTCTTGAGTCCATTAATCTGATTTTTGCTGAGTTTCTTTCTTGCCATTAATAGGATTTTTGCTGAGTTTCTTTCCTACCGGGATATGTTTGTCGATAGCATATTTCAATTTTCATGCATTTTTTTTTTTGCATTCATTACTGCAGGAGAACAAAGACTACAAGGATTTTAAGGACAAAAATGTGAGCGAGATTTACATCCGCTATCGCGTGCTATTTGGTGAAAGCTACGACGGTGACAAGTATGCAACAACCCCGAGCCTATTGTCTAAAATGGGCTTAGCTGTGTTTGAGAATAGTGTAGCAGGGGACTACTTGAATGACATTCTCGTTGATGGAGAGGGCAGCGATTCTAGCGATGAGGGGGACAGAACAACAGGTACAGCGAGCAGGAACACTTCCAATGCTAGAAGTGGCGAGAAACGCCAGTCATCCACTAAGGGGTGTAAAGGAAAGCAAAAGAAAATTTCAGCTCATGAGTTGTCCTATTCTGTGGATCAGGCTACTAGTGCAGCCGAGGAAGTGGCCGCGAAGCTCAATAGCATCGTCAATCGAACCGACAACGTCGGGGCTTCTGTAGTTAAGGAGTTGCTCGCAACGGGCCGGTTGCAGCGTCGGTCCCCACTGTACTACTACGCCTGCACACTTCTGATGCAGAAGCGTGCTCGGGATATGCTAGCTGTCATGCAGGATGTAGATGAAAAGTTCGAATGGATCAAGTGGCAGTTCAATGAGCGTGGCAAGTCGTTCCACTAGGCCCTTCACGTCTGTTGATTGCTCTATGTATTAGTGTTGTTGCCCCCCCCATTTGTGATATTTTGGTTTTTTGTGTACTTTTTCCGTTCTTATACCTATGTTGGACACTTATGTGTTAGTAATGTTATTTTTGTACTATCACTACATGTTTATTATTATTGCATACTTACATCATGCTGCACAACATCATTGAAACTTGACTTGAACTTAAATTGTAAGGAATCTTTCTGCCCATGCCAGAACTAGTTCATTCACAAGTACATTGCAGGGCCCATTTTGTTTTCCTTTGCACAATCATTTCACCCATTTGTATGGCTGATGTACGGAAGTGCCTTTGTGCACTCCTCTATATATATTTGGTTTCTCTTAAAATGTGAAGGCAGTAGCTTCATTACCACAATGAGCTTCGAATGCATGTTGTAGCCGAGCTCGGACTCCGAGGACAAGCTGAGTGATGAGGAGTTGTTCAGAAGTCTCGCAGATGACGTCACAGCATGGGTCACGTTTTCATCTGTTGCCGGGACCAATGCGAGGACATATTATCGCACATAGCGGGATCATGTTCGACGATTTTCGTTCGCCAGAAGCGGCCACATGTTCATGATGGAGGCTATGAGCGGGAACGGTCAGATATGCCATCAGGAGTTCCGAATGTACCCGTCGATGTTGCGACACTTTGCACATGTGCTGCGAGACGAGTACGGCTTAACTGGTAGCCAACAGGTGGATATCTACGAGAAAGTTGGTATGTTCTTGTGCATACTTGCACATGGGAAAGGATACCGGCAGGTGACAACATTATTCAACCATTCTTTGCAAACCGTTTGTGTATTTTTCAAAGAGGTGCTACGTGCCGTCGTGACGCTCTCGAAACATGTGATAAGAGCAACGTCAAATTACAATGACGGTGTCAATCCGCACAGGCCGTACCCGAACAAGCATCCACTGTTTCAGGATTGCATTGGGGCTATTGACGGAACACGTGTCAGAGCTGTGCTACCGCGTCACGAGCATGTGAACTTCATC